TCACTCCCAGGGGAACTACTTCGAGGGTGATGGATGAATTTAATACCTGAGATAAGTGTACGGGTTTTTATACGCGCAGTCTTGAAACTTTCCGATCGCACCTCGTACACAACAGGATGCAACAATCCTTGAAGTTAAAGGTACATTAAACTTACCTAGTACCTTGTCTCCAGAAACAAAACAATGATAGATCCAACTGTGGGCACTGAATCTCTGAATTTGTGCTGTAAGAATGTCTGCTTTCTTCTTACAGATATGAATCAACAATTACAGCTCAGTTCTTTGGTCATACTCATTTTGATGAATTTGAGTTATTTTATGATCGCAATGACTTAAGCAGGGTTACCAGCATAGCATACATTGGTCCATCAGTTACACCTTATTATGATCTAAACCCTGGCTACAGAATATATTACATTGATGGAGACCACAAGTCAACAACAAGGGTGAGTTTTATCAGAAAGCAAAGGTACACCTTGCAAATCCAATGGATGTCTTGTTCTTTGAGAAATCTACTAGTATTACATACTTTATATTATCAGATTTACAGTGTCAGGATTTGATATAAGTTAATAACTGTACAGAGGTTTGCCATCATAATGAACCACACCCTGGTGCCAACAAATGGATGTGCCGCTGAGGTTTCTTCTTCCTGTCTAATCACTGTACCACAAAGGCATGTAAGGGAGTGGAGCAAAGCTTTGCACATTCTTAACCTCGGAAATAAATGTGGAGAGTAGTTAGCTGTATGTTTCAGCCATTTATATTTAGGGAACATACCCTACCTATACTTCCTGAATAAGATGCTGGATTAACCCCAGGATCTGTGGAATCTACGGGATGTTTATTCTTGTAGCTTTCACAGCAATAAACATGAGTGTGTGAATTATCTGATGGGATAAAATGTATATCTTGTGACAAGGCATTATGGTGATTTCTGGTTTAAATTAAACCAACACTGGTCTTTCTTGCAGAAGCATTGTATGTACTTACTCTTATGGAAATTTCAAGTCCATCAACTTTTGAAACATCAGACCCTGGGATATTATATATTGTGTTTCTGGCTTGTAGGCAGTGGTTGATCATGAAACATGGGTCATGAATCTCAAAGAAGCAAACTTATATAATTATCCCATCTGGTACAAGCTGTATAGTACTCGATCAGCCTATCAGATGTCTTCACTTTTACCCCAGGACTGGGACAACCTTCTCAACAAACTAGCTGGTGATACAAAGCTTTTTGATCTTTATTACAAGTAAGTATTGTTATTTGCAACTGCATGGTATTTAGAATATTTTGTTAATAAAATTCCATATCTCTGTTTTAACCAGTGTCTTGATGTAATATTTTTATTCTTTGAAGAATGAGATAGATTTCTATGTTCTGTTTAGGTAAATGTTACAGCAAGAAACTCCAAGATATTTCACTTATTGATTCATATGATATCTCAGAAAAGGATATTGTGACAATGTCCATTGATTTGTAAAGCCATCCCATTACATGTCATTGTTGGCACTTAGGGGAGAGGAGGTATAGCTCCTACTCATTCTCAACCTCTGCACTAGATGGGGGTGAGTGGTCAGCAGCATGCCCTGGTTCTGCCCCACCCCCCACCCCAGGAAAGAACCCCAATACCTCACATCTTTATCCTCATTAGCATTGTACATATTTCATAACAAATGTTCGAATTGAACATAATGTTTTACATTTTGGTGGCTGGAGTTCAGTCATATTGTATTCACAAGTTTTTAGTTCATTACATACTACCAATATTTAGTAACCTCAGGAGTGTAAGGTGAGGAGCATGGCTAACGATATGTAACTTATGCATAATTGGCATTTTTGGTCAGAATCCTTGTGTATATTACAGACATTACTGGAAGAATTCTCCAGTGAGGCCAACTTGTGATGCTGAATGCAAAAAACGAATGCTCTGTGATCTGAGATCAGGCCGTTCACATGATCGCAAAGGACTCTGTCAGGAGTTGGAGAGCCGTATTGATGCTAACACACGAACAGGCTGGCGTGCGTGGATCTACAATGGACTGGCACTCTCGTATGTCAATTATTTCACAGGATTCTGTTGGGTAGGGGCTAGCATTAGAGATGCATTTACAGTGGATTAGTAGCTGGATACATTCCACTAGGTGGCGGTAACTAATACCAAGGTGGCTGGGTTCAATGAAAGGTGCAGGGTGTCTTAGATCATGCACATTGGCACTTCTGTACTACCTCATTCAGAGTTGTTTAACTCATCTCTTGTGTCATTTATAACCTAATTTCATGTTACATAAGTATTTTAAATTTATCTCTAATTTCAGTACAATATGACAATATTTTACTGTAACTAAATAATAATTAATTTTTAAATGTTTATGATGCTTTACTTTTTCACTATAATTTCAGTTTGTGCGAGGTATCTTGAGACTAACCTGAAAGTAGAGTTTACCATACACATGAAATGTATGTACCAGAAGCTCTGAAAGAAAAATTTAAAAATTACAATAGCAAGTATTGGTGTATGAAGTTAACATAACAGTCAATAGATGCTATTTTCTGCTATTAAATATTGTTGTGTTAATATGAAAAGGTTCTATTTTATTTCACATATAAGTCTTGAATTGGTTTTGTATACCAAAATAAAAGTCTGAGGTAAAATGTATGTCCTTCATTACACGCTGATACTTATAAGAGACTGTAAATAATGAATTATATGACATATTCTGGAAAGAGCTACTTCACTCATGTGGTGCTGTGTTTGTTTGCCTTTTTTTAATAGTTATTCAGTGTATAAATTAAATTAGTTTTTTATATTCAGGCTAATGTGTCAAGTTCCACTTACAGTGAGTTTGAAAAGTCACTATGTAAAGAATCCATGTTGTTAATATTATTCATGTTCTTGGGTAAAATATGTTTTATGAACTTCTAAGCAATGTTATAACGCACATTGTTATGAACATAAGGATCAAATAAGTAGATGAATATAAGAGTGGAAACTGTTCAGTCTATGACCTTTAACAAAGACTTCCTTGCTTTAAAAATCTGACTTGTTACTGGCTGTAATCATAAATTCATCTTTAAAAATAATTTCAGAGAACTGACTATTGCATTTCTTTTTGCTATTATTAATAGAGACATCATGTGCTTAGGGCCACTTTGAGGTAGTGATGCTCCCTGGGCAAAGCATGATCTTGCAGCAGTTTTGCAGTCAGTAAAGGGGATTCATTTCCTGTTAGGGAAAGTAATATTTCACAGTCATGCCCAGATCAGATCATGGGCCCATCCAACAACATAGCCTGTTGTTTGTAGTGCAATACAGACATTTCAGTGGTAATATTTGTAGAAATGGTGGCAGCTGTATTGGGATTCTGAGTTTAAAAACTTGTTATTTTTATGTAACCTGTTGCATGTATACTTCGAATTTATTTCTATTTGAAATCAAAATTATAATTTTTGCAACATATTCCATCGTGGAGTTCATGAACTTCTGAAGGTATATTGCACATTCATAAATTTTCATTGAAATTAATATACTGAAATTTTTTTCTGTTTATGCCCATAGTGGTTTGAAGTACAGTAGAGTTCTGATATCCAACTTTTGGTTATCTGACATCTCTTTTATTTAATGTTCCATGTCAGAACACTCCATTTTATCAACAGGCAACTGTGCACATAACGGAATGAATCACAGTCCCCACCATGCACCGTCTACATTTTATGTACTCAGTTGCTACAGACGTACTACAGTTCATGTTTTGGCATGACCTTGTTACAAACAAAAGGAAGGAGAATAAACTTTTTCATTTAAGTTTATTTTATGTTAAATGCTGTATTTGTTTGTGATATTTTTACATTTGATGCTGTATTGTATTTTCTTCATAACTTATAACATTGTAAAATTAGTTGATATTTACCCTCATTCTTTTCATTAGTCTCCTGTATTAACAGACATTTTTTATTATCTGACCATCCTTTAGTCCTATTTAGGTCAGATAATAGGGACTCTACTGTATTAGTGAAAATTTGTTCAATTGTAAGATTTGTTATTTAAATGTCAGATTAAAAATAGGTGAAAACAGATTGAAACCTGCAGTTGTACCATGTTCATCAAGATTACCCACATTACCTTTATACTGTTTTCTCCCATTTTACTTCACGTGCCTGTCCAGGCATTCAAGTTTTCCTTAACAAATGCAGTGTTCTGTTGTATAATGAGTGTCTGCCAGGAAAACATTCTGAGTAAAGATCTGTTACAACATTCTTTAGACTGTCTTCATAATTGTTTTAATATAACATTTCTATAAGTAATCAGTATTTTTTTCATTTTAATTTTATTGGAAAGTCATTGACTATCAACAGCATGATATTTTATGGCCATACAGATAAAATTCTGCAGGTCAGGACACATGGCAAGTATCATAAATTTTTAATATTGTATATCTAATTATATTTCAACATTTTCACATTGTTTTATTTTGACCATATGTTTTGTACAGTATGTACCTTTGATACACAAACTGTCAAAAACTTACCACAATTCAGTTTTCTTGATTTATTAATTTGTAAATTGTTGACTGAAATGCATTAATGTAACATATCTCCAGAGCAGTGCTTCTCAAGTATAGCCACCAGCTGTTTTCCGTAATAATACAAAATGTCACAAGTAACCACACTTTGGTATTATCACATTTTATTACAAAAAGTATTGAAACAAACTTAACTGTGGCAGTTTTAAAGATGTCCAGTTTGTTTTCGATTTTCAGTATCTGAATGTGTTTCCATTAACCATAAGTAAATAATACTTTATTGGTACTTTAAAGTTCAAATTCATGCTTCTTATACATTTTGGAACATGCACATGAAAATTGTATTTAATACTAAAGTTCTGTTAAAGAGCCACTGCTGTAGGGAACCCTGTAACATCTAAAACTACCTGTATCTGCATTAACATTGTCTCAACTTATTTGGTTGTGGTACTGTTTTAACATTCTGTTTCACACTGCACCTTTACTTTCAAGCTTCTAGAATGCAGATACTGTAGCAGCTACAGTTGGTCACCTCCTTCCAAATTCCTTCATATTACTGGGGATTGCATGAAGAGGCATCTGATGAAGACTGAACACATTTCACTTGATGTGCTGCAGTATCCACGGTACTTTTCTAGAACCATTCTAACACCTTCAGCACTTTTAGGGAACAGTTTTTGTGAAGGAAATTTAAAGCATTGTATTTTTAAGATACCTGTATTGTACATGATGATATGAAGTGTTGTGGTCATGAAGGTAAGGCTCAATATACTCTGGCTCTTGCTATTGGAATTTTCTTTGCTATGTCTTTAACTTCTGCTTGAATTATTTAGGATAATGATGGTCACAGAGCCACTCTGTATGTATGGTAAGCCATAAACTGTAGTTGCACCTGCTGGAGATTAAAATTTGCCAATATGAACGACCCAGCTCAACTGATGGGAAATTTCACAACAAAGCTAACATTCTCTGAAAGAATTAATATTACAGTCTCATTCCTTTGTGTTCTTTGTGCAAAGTTCATAAAATGAATGCATATATAATGAAGGGTCCTGTCTGTATTCTATATATTATTTTGTAAACTGTTTACCAGATTTAAGTGATGTCTGATGTCAGGGGTCTATGCTTGAAGTTTTCAGGTTTTATTTTTTCTGGTATATTTTTGGAAAAAACAAATTCAAGGTGATACATAAAAGTGACACTTGCAAACCAGGTCTATCACAACTAGTTACATAATGTGTACCTTCGTCTCTTGGTGTAATTTGAAATAGAACAAAAATGTGCACCTGTAAATTTGAAACAAATTATTTTCTATTTCAATTTGACATATGATTCTGATACTTTTATGCTCACTTCTGGGATAGTTGTTTGGAGATGAATGTTGTTAGAGATTGTGTTCAATACTTCTTTTGAGAACTTAGAGTTTTAGATTTTTAACACTTGTTCTATTAGGAAAAATACCCTGATTTTGCGTTAAATCCACAAGCTTTTACTTACCAAGTAGGTGCAATAATTGTTTATTGAAAACATACTACAACCATCCAGCTAAGCAGAAGCTTCACAATTCAGTTCCTGTTCTGGTTAAAAGCTTTCTATCAGGAATATTCATATTTTCAAGTGAAGATTTACATAATCTTTTAAGCCTGCATACCCTGAGACAAGCATATGAATCATCTGGATGCAATGAACCACTGTAAGGTCAGTGCCATTTTGCAGCTGAAAAATCTTGTTGACAGCAGTTTATGTTTAGATACTTTTACCCTACTTGAAACTGCAAATGTTCTGGCTGAGAATTTGTTGTTATTGTAAGTTAAGACTGAGCACACATCATTTTATCTCCAGTGAAATGAAAAGCCAACATTTATCATTGTGTTAAATGTCCTTGTGAAAGTGTCTCACACTTCACATACTATGTGTTTCTGTTTATACCAGTAAAATATAACTTTACTGAATGTTATAGCACACTTAGTAAGATGACTACTGACAAACTGAATGGCTCTGCAAGCCCATTACAAATTGTCAGCACCATATATTTTAGATTTGCTCTGGAACCAACCTCCCAACCATTTAGTTACACAGAGTGATTTTCTCAGAAGAAAAGGCAGCTAGCTGAAGTACTCCCCAGAAATGCACATTCTGTAAACAGTCTCAAATAATTAACCACTATATTTATGATAGTAAAGTGCAGAAAATAATAAAGCATATTATAAGGACATTTGAGAAGTTATCTTGTTTAATATGTAGAATTGGATGTGATAAAAAACAGACTTGAATCATACAATTCACCAAATTTTTAGATTATATAACAAATCAAGCTTTTGCTGAAAGCTCATTTATTATAATTGGAAAGAATTTAGTATCCTAGCTTTCCAGACTGTTGGACTAGAACTACATCTTAAAGCATACCCAGCAAATTCTTGCTCTCACTATTATCATTTGTAGTGGATGACGGAAAAATTTCAAACAAATACAGATATCCACAATGTAGATACAACCTTCATGTGCCGATTTCTAACTTCAGTAAATATCAAAAAGGAGTTTTACTATAATGGAATTAAGTTATTCAATAATCTTCCACCTACTATAAAAAGTTTAAACCATGACACAAAAATGTTTAAGCCAGTGTCAAAAGAGTATCTCCTCTCACTCCCTCTACTCAGTAGAAGAATTTATAAATACATGTAAGTAATAGTGGTGATGGTTCTCATCATAATTATTTTGCTGTAATACTGTAGTTCCAAAAATCTGTCCGTATCTGTTATAACTATGTATTTATATTTGTACTAGAAACAAGTATTGTATTTGTGCTGTGACCTGTTCTACATCCTTGGCTTAGGCCTATAAAGGATCTATGGAATGTAAATACTATTCTATTCTGTACATTACCTGGAAACAGTTTGGTTGTCAGTGGTAGTATGTTAAAACAATGTTTTATTACACAACTATGACATGCTGTACTTATCCAGTTAGATAAATGAGGCGTTAACTGCTACTGGTAATTATCAACAGTATCATTAGGAATATTTAATATATTTTGTTTTTTTAATAATTATTATAGGCTATCTTCTGTATTCACAGTTTCTTCCTCTGTCTTTTCTATGCCTCATTTATGTATTTATCAAAGGAAAAGCAGGTTCTTTATAAATAAGTTAACTTATTAATTAGTAAGTCAGTTTCTGAATTAAAAATAATCAATCTGCAATCTAGTTAAAAACAAATAAACAAGATTTCATCAAACAGTAACTTCGGTTTCTGTCCCTGTTGCTTCCTGAATCTAACCATTGTAATATTTTCTTGTTTCTCTTTTGCAGGAGATCTGTCTTTACAGCTATCGTTTCGTTCTTTTCTGGCTGAAAGCTGGAAATATTTCCTTGGGGGACACTAATCTTGGTCACCCTGCTGTTTCTCCGGGAAGTACGTTTAATTTTAGAGGAATGGTGTTGGTGCTGAAATCAACTGTACAAAACCCCTTTGCTCAATTTACATACTTCTGGAGGGTGGGAGAAGGGCTGCCAACATTTATATTTGACTTGTATTGTTGGTGGGATTGATTCTGTAGTTTTACATGTTAAACATAAACTTCAAGGCATCAGATATGTTTTTGTTAATTATTTAATAATGATGTGAGCTCTTGTGAACATGGCAATGCACCTTCAGGTTCCATAAAAGCTGCAGAATATCATATCTGGCTGAACAACTCTCAGCTTCTCAGGAAGGTCTCTGCTTCATGGAGTTCATTAGTTAATGATCATGTATCAACTGCAGTGATTATTTAGCATCATATGTAGGAGGATGTTTGTACAATAAATTGTACATGGTGAAGATGCTGGTCCTCAGATGATTGGGAATAACCAGTACAGTAGGTGCTTTAGCAGAGTTTCAAATCAGCCACCTCTTGTGTTAAGACACTAATAAATTATTGATAACGGACAGATTTTAGTGTGTTCCAACGTTTCTTTCACACAAGTAAAATTTAACAAAATTGTAGATTTTAAGTGGGATCTTTGTCAAACTATGCTGGAATGACAACTATACAAGTCTGAGGTTATGTATAGAATCTGTCTGATATATGGAGTCATTACTAAGACAAATTTTGACATAAATACGTCTATAAGGAAGGGCCATTCGGCAAAAAAGTGTAACGAAAAACGGAAACGAAAAAGTGTAAGATGGTTACCTAGGAAACATCATCTGTTTATCAACAAATAAACAACAATGATTACCTAGGAAACTTCATCTGTTTATTGTTACCTACGAAACGTCAACTGTTTACTAAACATTATTGTTACCTAGGAAACGTTACTTCACATTGTATTACATTACTTTCGTTATTGCGGCAGGAGCTGAGCTGTGATTCGCTTGTACAAGAAGTGCGTCGTAGAGTAGATAATTTTGTGCTGGTAATGTAAAGTAATGTACCTTACCTTACATTACCTTACCTTACCTTACATTACATTACTGCACATTACATTCAGCTACCACAGAGCCATCTTAAGCGTAACTAATTCGAGTTGATTAAGCAATGTCTTAATCAAACTTATCTCAATTGTAAAGCATGTATAAAGGAAATATTTAGAATAAAACCAATACATAAACTTCCTTTCCGTATAGACGTATTTACGTCAAATTCTCCGGAACCGTGGTTCCACTGACAACTTTTATAATATGAATATAATTGAGTTTGGTGAGATTTTAGTTACAAAAAGATACAGTACAAGTGAAATTGATGAAATATGTCAGAATGTACTGATTGAACATAACCTGGTGTGTTACATGGATGTAAATGTAGGTCTCCTGAGGAATTAAATTCAGTGCAACTGCACGAATATCCTTCTATTAGTCTTGTAATGTCTTACATATGATTGAATACCAGAGATTGTTCTCAGAGTTGTGTAATATATGCAAGATCTGTCTTTGTCAACTGATGCCAGAATTAGAATTGTATACATTATTGTCATTTTTCTGTTTCAGGATGTCTGTTATCATGGCAATCCCATCCTTTACATACAAAATACCTAAGTTTGTCCTGGGACTTGGGTAAATATGAACTCTAAACAAAACAATCAATCATACAAATGTTATTTATCTATGATAGAGTATTGCTAGTAGTAGCATCCAGTCAGGTTGACACGATAGCACATTTGTGACTGAGAAATCTTTTATAGTGATTTATTGTTCTGGCTTCTGTTTTACAAAAGCCTGTGTAGAGTACTCATTTTTATTCTTCTTGTGAAAAAACATGTCTACAGATAAGATATTGACAAGTCTAGTTAAAGAGTGTAGAGTAAATGTGTAGGAGCCAGGAACAAAATGCAAAGATCTCAAGTTTGAAAAATAAACATGGCACATGAATTGTAGCAAATTTTTTATTTACTGAAAGACTAACCATAGAATGCAACAGAAACTCATTTAATATGTAAGAAAGGAGTAACTCCAATTACATTATTAAAAAAGAAATATTTCATTATAAATTGGTTGGTGGTTCTATTTTTTAAACAATGGTTGTATTTGAAGTACTGAAGTCAAGATGGCTTGATTTCATATAACTTAAGTCAGTCACATTAACTCCTATAATGCTTCTGTGCATGTTACCTTAAAATTTACCAGTAATTCAGAAGCAGTTATGACTGTTGATAAGAAAGAACTTTGTAAGATAGAATTGCAGGAAAACTTTTAAGTGGAGAATAGAGGATCTAGGGTTTTTTAAATTTATTATGTGGGTTATATAGGCATTAATGTGAAGGTTTATGTCAAACTTCTTTAAATGTGGAAAATGTTTCAGATGAGATTGAAAACTTGCTTTGTTATACTTTATCTTAATAAGCATGGTGCAAAGGAAGTATTTCATGTTCATAAAAATAAGAGCAATGGAGTGAAATTTGTTCCTGGCTTCCATTGTCCAAGTAGTGAGAGTGAGCATGACATATACACTGACCTTGTAATTAAATTTTTCATTTTTGTTTACTGCAGTTAAATCAGTGATTCTTAAAAAAAGCCCATGAATTTTGCTGTGTGAGTTGCACAAAGTGAAAACAAGAAGCCAATGCAGTAGTTTAAAAAGTTAATATAAAAATATTACATTATTTACACAGAAAAGGAGAGGCAGGCATTTTAATAGTCTCAAATTATATAACATTACAATTTGTTGGCAAAGAGATGGGCATTTTATTTCTTACTGTCTTAAAGATATCAGTAATGTATACATTTGCAAACATATAGTCTTGATGGCATCATGACTTAATCCAGCCTTCATGATTACAAATATGGTCATACAGAAGAGGTAACAGTTTATTGTTTTATGTAAAGTTTTGTATAAATTTCTCAACTCAATATTTTCTCCAAAAAAATAATTGCATAATTCCTGAAGTGTTAACTATGACCCAGTGGTAAACCAGGTTGCTGGCTGTAAAAATCTGATTCTGTGGAAAAGTCACCCCAGTTCATACATTCAGTAACACCTACCAGAGTTCATTTCCCACAGTTCATCTTGTACAATTTTACAATCTCCCAGCTGAGACTTGTTTGCATTTGCTGCCCCTCACTCTCAAATGAAAAAAGTTAAATACTCTGTACAGCATAAAAATTAAAGCAATTTTATTTAGCCAATTACACTTTCAATCAAATGACCTATACCTGTCAGTCTATAATGATATTTTGTAGGTCACAATTCTGTACGTAGTTCTTATTATACTGTAACATTTTAGGTGTCTGTCCAAAAAAAAACTCCAATCTGATTATGATATTTCACTTTCTTTCTAGTTTTAAATCAATGTTTTTCTTTTCTTTTCCTGAAAACCTGTTTTTAAGGAACACATTCAAAACAAGCATATTATCAGTTTTGTTACACATCATTATCATAACTATATCCATAATTAACTTCTGCCACAAATGCCTTACCAGTTAATATGCATTGCTTGTTGCACACAGTAAATCGGTACCTTATTTCACCTGTCATAATTTTTATTCAACATTTTCAAGTCCCAGACTGTACTTTTATATTTATTTTATTAACAAAATGGCTGAATATCAGTATTCTTCGTTTATTTCCCAATGGGTCTTTGCATTCCTCAAAGCAGAAGTATTACTGTTAAATGCAATTAACAAGGCTTTCAGTACTTGATACCACACTTCCTGCATCTGTGGTTCAGATTACCTGTCATCTTTGTCTCATTTCAATAGAGCAGTGTTCTGCAACTGATGTGCCACAAGGTTTCAGGTGTGCTGCAATTTTTTGCAAAACACTCCCACACATACATCCCAGTTCATAGTATAGTTTTATTCAACATGTGTTGTCTCGGTTTCATATCCCTGCATTCTTATAGAGCAAGGATTTGTATGTAGTTACATATTTATGGCCATGTAAAACAGTTTCATACCTGCTTTTCTTGAGCAAAGTCTGTGGTGTGCCATCATGTGTCTTTGACAAATTAGGGTGTGCTGCAAGTGAAGAAAGTTTGTGGAACACTGTAATACAGTACAGTGGGCTTTAATAAGAATCACTGATGTAAATTGAACTGCATGGGAACAAACTCACATGGGTCAACATACATGTGCATATTATTCATTTTTTCATTAAACCATAATTATTGTATCTTGGCTGTCGTCAGTGAAACTGAAGTCGTATTCTGCTTATGATTTTGGCTTCAAAGTTCACAGGTTAAAACTAAGGACATGGTTTTTTCTTCTTACATTTTACTAATTGACATAATAAAGTGCATTTGCTCTTTTAACTCTGGAACTAAATGAACAAACTTAATCTACTTTAAAATAGGTATAAATTTATCCATGCTTACAACTAGCATAATTACAATAGATGCCCTGGAAGTTTCATCCACCTCTGGCTTGGTTTTTATATTTACTTTGTGAACTTTAAAACTGTAAGCCAGATGTTACTTTAAACCAAATGATATTACAGTCATTTTAAAAATGAATGCTTTACCTTCAAAGGTGTTTTTACCAAATTTTGTATATTTATGCTTGTTTTGTTGTTGATTTAAAATGAGATATTTGATAATAAAATATTTTATACATTCCATAATTAAAACTGTGGAAGCAGTATTACACTGGTCAAACAGTTCTTGATTGGCATTATTGAGGATACGTACCACTACTGGTGGCAGTAGTGAGTGAAGTTTAGGAAGCCTGGAATCGCAGATTCAAATCTTGGTCATCACTGACATGCTAGTCCACATTCTTATGTATCATCCTGTGATAACAGAGGCATTACAATAGCCTGATATTCATTAAAAGTAACCCTGCTGTTTGTATGCTTAGCATTATTGTGACTTGATTAATACACTGACAGAAAATTACTTCATTGCCAAATAAAAAAAATCTGGAATATACAGCACTGTCTTTTCAAGGAAGGACAAGAAATTTCAATAGGTTGGCAGGTTTTAGTAAGACCACATGTTCTTTGTACAATGAATGCTTTTATTTGGCTTCACTTGTGTTGGCTATGGCAAGTTCCTTCACTTTGGCAAGTTTCCATACACAAGGAAAGGCCCTATATAAAGAAGTAAAATGTAATACGAATGAAGAACAGAAGAGTACCACAGAAAATTACAATATACACAACTTCAGGTACACACTATTTCATAAGACTTGAGCAGTAACATATACAGATAAGTAGTTATGCTAAGAGAGATAATGACAGGAATAACATTTATCAAACTCATTAACTATATTCCTGATATATTGAGCAAATAACTCTTAGACTGACCCTCATTTTTGTGCTCTGTAACCCAACTTTTTACGAAAGTTCAACAATGATTAATATCATGTTCTGATACCAGAGTTCATAATACTTGTGAAATCATCATCTTTAAATTCTACAAAACTCATCAATGATTCCTAAAGCATTTTAATCTGAACTGCCATGAAAGACTTTGTTCCACAAGGGTACAGCAAAGATGAGAAATTAGTAATGACTTCATGTAAATATATCCTAACCAACAAGATCTGCCTTCCATACAAAAATACTTATTATTACAGCAGCACCATGAAAATTATACTTATCATAAAGAAAATGTTACTGTCATCTGACCAAATACTGCTTAATGTAAATAACAAAGAATACACTAATTTTAAACAAGGTAACTCATTTAAAATAGAGATAACAAATTTAAATACCTTCAACCCCTTTCATGGAATGTACAAAACGTTCATAGAATTTACCGTTTCATGAGTCTGCCAATTTTTGTATGTTGCAAACTACATCAGTCCAATGCAGCATTTCAAAAAATGAAAATCTGGGACATCATTTCTAATTTCCATGAGAAAGGTGAACATATAAAATATTTTCTTTTACTATGGCTTACGTAATAAATTACAGTATTTACACAGAATTAATTTTAAGAACTTTTCTCTACTTAAACTGTATAGATTAAGAAAATGCAAGATACTGTGATATTTCACATTTTCCATTTAACAAGGAAAGATACGGTTTGTTTAAGATAGACTACATATTTCTCCGCTGGCAACAGTATCACTATTTAATCCCACTAATTTAATTAAATTTTTAAATACACATTCTAAACAGAGATTAAGAAATTACTTTCCCATGGTTTTAACATACACAACTAGAAGAAAATGGCAAAATGTGTAAGTAATTGACGATATGAAATAGGAGGGAATTTATGTGATATAAAAAGTATGTTCTTAAATTATTATCTAGTATAACAATAATGTCTAAACCATTAAAATTACAGAATGTTTTATGGTAAAATTGGTAAAATAAAAAAATACAGTTAAATGTTATTTACTATATTATTATTATTTTATTTAGTGTTCTGTCTGACGACAGGTCCATATGAACAGGATCCTTCCATCCTTTTCTCGGACTGGGACCTGTTCATATACGTTCTTGGCAGATGATCCAGAAGTGGTTTGCCATTGCCTTCTTCTGTGTGTGAATGGAGTAATTGTTGGGATGCCACGGAGAAACCAGGGAAGCCCCGGAGGAAAACTCCATGTTGCCTAGACCACGGCCTTGACCAGCACAAGTTATAAATTCGGGCACCACCGGGAATTAACTGTGATTAATTACATGGAAGCTGAATGTTAAACATGACAGGGAAATAAATTGGATAGCGAATGAGAACTAATACAGTACCTAGTAACTGTGACTAATCATAAATGCTTATAATACATTGGTATAATGGAGTTTAAAACTAAAACCAGCAGCAGAAACTGAAGCTAACATAGAAATATAAGATGTATTGATGTCATGTTCAGATATATATCACGCCAGTTACTATATATGACAGAGAGATAAAGAGTACAAGAAGCAAGACCTGTGACTGACTTTTCAGTAAGCAGCTGGAATGGCAAACCAGAATTTATAAATATTAAAATTAAATTATATAAAATATTAGGAACATATTCAAGTTCAGATCTTTAAAATATAATTATCATACACAGAGAATAACACATTAATACAAAAACTTGTGATGGATGAAAAATATCAGTATTTAAAATTAGAACACCCACACTGAAGAACATAAGATCACCAGTAACAGGATGTTATAATTAATGACCAAGGTACTGTGTGTGAGACCGGTCAAAATGAAAAAATGCAAAAGTGTAATGCACATTTGCGTGACAAATTACAGCCAACCAACTTCAAAGGCATATAATATTTCTGTAGCTATTAATGAAAATGTCATACATACAGTGCTTGAGTGATATGCATATAATTCCAGATAATTTTGACATCTGAAACAAATACTGAAAATGTAAAAGAAATGGATGGTTCAAGTGAAATGGCATCCTTCCGCGGTTAACCTGTTATATACATCTAATGGACTTCTGGTGAGGTCACCACCCATACAACATGAAATAGTTTAGCACAAAACAATCAACTGCAGTATCATAGAACATTAATACTAATACATTATGCAAGTGGCTGTGAATTATGTATTAGAACCAGGCTATTATGTAATCTGCGTGACGTAAGAGCAGTCACAGCCTACGCAGATTCCTCTTACTTGCCTTACTCCCAATAGAGCCAAGGCGCTTTCTGCATCGTGGGATTGACACTGAGGGACAGGTATTTCCATTATGGCTCTCACAATGACAAATACAACAGAACAAATACTGACACCTTTCGTGAGTACACTGACCCACATTTGAAGCTACATCAATTTGTGATGGCAGAGAGCATCTCGGACAAGGAGCTAACATTTTGCCATTTTCAAGTTTCTGTGCTGCCTGAAATCAAAGAATAAAATTCATTACTTGTCTGAAATTCTGAATATGAATCTGACAGGGTAGATGTGGATTTCTACCTTAACAAAGAATGTTCCACTACCTCCCCAGAACTCGTTCTCATGTTTCTTTGCAAGTACATACCTTGTAAAACTGAAGAAACCGCTGTTTACTGGGACTCGGTGGTGGACTGGGGGGATTATGTGCAATATGACTACTGTTTTCATTTCCCACATTCTGGATCTGCCTTAAACGAATTCTAGGATGGTTATGTGCAGCTGCTGAATTTAACTTGTTCACCTTGAAAATAGGAAAAGTATGCATCAGCAGTTAATATTTTTTTATCTTATAATAATTGATTATGTGCAATGGAACTAGAATTTAGTCACATTCATATCTAATGTTTCACATTCCATCTTCTAACCTGATCAGGATCATTTATTACAAATAACATTTTCCTTACAGATACCTGTTTTCAGTGTTTATTAGCATATTATTTACTGAAGAATGTAAATGTGTGTACTTAATAATTAATTAAGATGGACAATTAATGTGTGTATTGTTAAGAGCCAACCTTTATTACCAGATTTAATATTTACTTTACCTGGGATACTGATTTTTGGTTTGAACATATATCTTGATAATTATTTGTCCAAGAATGATTCTTAAATGCATTACTCACATATTCTACATGCATATTCCATCAATTTGAAGAGCATGAGAAAAATCTCTGGCATTCATAAGAGATGGTTATGGGATCTGAGTACATGAATACCCAGAAAAGACAGACTATTCCTTATAATTAGTACATCAGAATCTTGTGACAGAAAGTTATGCAACTAATTCAAAATCCTGGAAAGTGGTCAAAAGTTTAGAAATTAATTCTAGGATGGTTAGTTGTTATTTTGATGTAACTTGTTCTCCCATTTTGTAAGCAGACAAATGTGTAAAATGAATTTTATCTGTGCATGCAATAAGGAACTTATTCCCTACATACCAGAAATTCAGCCCCATTTTCTTTGTTTTTTTGTTTATGCTCCAAGTAGCAGTGTATACGTCTGCAGGCATCACGATCGGCTTTACAGACTCTGTTCCATGTCTTTGAAACCACTGCTACTGCCATCAGATCAATAGGCTGTAAATAGCTGAGTATGGCTTTTACAATTATACTGTGATCACTCTTTTCGCCAAGAAGGGAGAGAAAATCTACTTTCTCTCGCCCAAATAAATATAGATGTTGCTGACTAGAATACTTTAGAGAGAATGGAATGGCACGAGTATAATCAAAAGTTTGACATATCTTCTGAGGACCTTCTGAAATATCTCTTCTTGTCAAGTTTGTAAGTATATCTGTTATTAAATCACTGTCTTCTGTCAGTAAATCCCCTTTCTGGGAATCAAAAGGATTTACCCTTTCTTTATTATCGTTCACATTGTCATGCTTACAGACTTCATATGGTGTTGACATGTGTTCCAGATGATCCTTGGCTTTTTCATTTGTATCCATTTGTTCAGTGTCGCCCCCCTTACTGTCAGATTTCCATACTGACTCATTTTCATCCACTTCATCATATGATATAGCACTGTCATCAAGGATACCATTTTCTTGTGAATCAAAGGAATTGTCTACCAAAGATAAATGATCCAAATTGTCATGCAGTAAGAATTCACCTTTGGTTTGTAATGACAATTCAGTATCAGTAAAAGGTGGTTTCTTTTTTCCATCCACAGTTGACAGTGATGAATCAGGCCTTTGTAATAATGTAAACCTTCCAAGCGATGTTTTTTTCCTTTTGTGGCGCAATGAAGGATGTGCTCTGTGAGAGTGTACCCTTGGGGCATATAACACCATTGCATCAGGAGTAGACGAAGCATGATTCCTATAATTGTATGCATATCTTTGTGATAGCTTCTTACTGCTAGATGGTCCAGAATCTAAGCTTTCAGCTGAAGTTGGGGTAAGGTATCCACTGTCATCAGTGTTCACTGGGGTCCCTGCTAATAGATGTATTTCATGTGCAGGTGTATATGCAGCCATCTGCAAAATAATTTTATCTGATAAACTTCTACATTTGGATCCTATCAACATCAAATTTTAAGTTTTGAAGATATTACAATATATGTTTCAAATAACTTAACTGGAAATTAAAAATTAATTCAACATCAGCATGCATACTACTATTTTTTTTAATTCTGTTCTATGAAACCACATCTATTAAAGACATCTGTAATGTCAAACTAATTAGTGTAAAGGTATCCTACTATACCAATTTCACCAGTCCACTAACATGCTGGAAAATTAGTAACTTTAAACCATACTGGCACTATGAAAAACCAATTGTCACTCTTGGTCACCCCAGTCAGATGTTATGGTTGCAACAACTAATTTCAAGCTGTCTCTAATTATTGCTGCTTTAATGCCAACAAAAAAGAGCAGAATGTAAGATGATTATGACACTGCTAAACCAGACAGAGATACAGCCAAACATGAAAGTCCAATAGGTTTAATTTATAGCTTATGTTACTTGTAAAATATTTTTCTACCTCTTATGTTCCAGATGTAGTGCTGTGTTCCACTGCATGCTATATTAGCATATTTTAAAAACTAATTCAATCATTCTGAAAACATTATAGATACAATTACAAACAAGACATAACAAAAGCACAACTTCCTCAGAGTAGGGTAGAGTTTATTTACATTCCATAGATCCTTCTCAGGACTAAACCAAAGGATGTAGAACATGTCATTTCGTACAATATACATAAACTTAAGAACTTGTTGCAGGAAGGTGGGGTCACTTCGGAGAGAGTGCTTGTAGTCTTCGTCTTTTGCTCTGATCTTGTTATCAGATTTATAAATAACAGTAACATGTTGAGTGCAGTAATTCAGTGGGGTCAGCAATATATTGTTGAGTCCTTGAGTGTATGGGTCCAAGAACGTGGAGGATGGGTGTGGGACACCTTTTCATTATTATTGGGGTTGCTTGAAGGCTTTTCTCGCATGACCATTGTGCAGGAGGTGTTCTTGTCGGGGTTGACATTGAGGAGGGGAGACGGATCATGGTTTGGATCTGATTCATTTGATATGCTTAATTGGTTTTCACAATATTTTGTACTTAATTATGTGGTATTTCACACATCAATGTACATAAACTTCAGATTCTGCAATACAAGAATGAAAAATAATTTTACAAATTAATATACATAAACCGCAGAATTTTAAATAGAAATACAAAACTTAGTTTACATATAGATTATAGATATTCATAAAGCTTAAAAATTTTCAGCAGAGATGAAATTATCTGCAGAATAGAAAAAGTGAGTGAAGAGGTAATCTTTCAATGCAGGCTTGAATACCTTTATATCATAATTTAGACTTTTAATTGTTGGTGGAAGATTATTAAACAATTTGATACCTGTATAGTATGCTCCTTTTTGATATTTAGAAAACTTTATTACTGTCTGTTGAATTTCCCCAAAAGATTAATCCATATGACACTACAGAGTGGAAATAAGCATAGTAAAGTAGCTTTAAAGTATCTATTGTCATGAGTGGTAAGACAGTTCTCATGGCAAAGCATGCAGAGCTTAATTTGGGAATAATATACTCAATGTGTTTCTTCCAATTTAAGGTAATGTCAACTTGTAAGCCAAGGAATTTGTTTGTTTCAACTTCTGCAATTAATTTTTCTTCAAAACCTATATTTAACCTAGGATATGTCTTGTGCTTAGTAACAAATTTTATGAAGTTTGTTTTTTCAAAGTTTAGTGCCAGTTTGTTAGCTCTAAACCATTCGTTTACATTGGCAAAGGCATCATTCATGATATTTTCAAGATAGACCAATTCTGGGTGTGTAATAATGATACTTGTATAATCAGCAAATGTAAATGTGATGAAGTAAAGGAGTCTCAGTCTTACTGCCAGTTGTGAACAACTCACCCACTCATGCACACAAGGTGTCTAATGTATAATAACTGATCAGTAATTGTAAACTGACAAAACACTTCCAGTTCCAGTAATTGGTATGGTGCTTGTGGCCTCAGCTCATACACTTGCAGGTTTAATAACGTTGCCTACTACACAGAACTTTGTATATATTTCTCATCAGTGTCAAGAACCACAGTTATTACTATATCTTCTTCAGTATCTCAAGTTAGAATAGCTCGATTTCAGTTGTGACACACTACTTTCTATTTTTAATTTGGATAATGCACTAAGAAATTTCACCCCATGAAGTAATCCAAGACTCCAAGAGGTCTCAATAAAATATATTTAAATGTAACACACAGATTAATAGTATTATTGTGTAAATTATCCCCATTGTATACTTTCTGTGCTGCAAACTGTAGGCCTTCAAACTCGTAATAGTCTGTTCAATTACAAAGGCAATGTGAGGCAAATTAATTTTACTAACACAAAATCAAAATCAGGAAACATATGTCTACTGTCAATGTCTTTGTGCTAAACCATTCACACCTCTCAAATCGTTATTTCATTCCAAATTTTACAGATTCACGTTTGAAGACAATGTGCCGCCGGATGTACAACACTCACTGAAAACCACTTTGAATGTAACTATTCCTTCCGCTGTGACTTACCCTTTCATCAGTTATAATCAAGTCTTCTACAAGTCATAACATTATACAAGCCATGGAGACACACAGACGTTTTGAATGATTCGGTTCAAATTTCCAGCGTTTCAAGCTTTCTTCATCGACCAATCGAAAGAGTCCTCATCTGATGGTGCCCAGTCCGTTTAATTCAAACGACCCAATTGTTTCGTTTCCGATGTAGGTTATATGAAAATTTCAACGTTAAGATTAGAACGCCATTGAAAAGGTACTTCGTACGTTACTAACCCAAAATTCATCCACGATTTTTCATACCACCAGTCATACCACTACACCAAAAGTTATGTTGATTTCGTTTGTGACCTCTGTCGAGTACCAATTTTCTACGATCTGTCTTGTGTGAAATTTTGAGTGGAAGACAGGATTTACTTGTTCGAGTGTTGATATTCACCTGGTTTTATATTATCAGCGAAGGGTAAGGCAAGTGAATTCATTGTTTACTTCCAAACAAAAATCTTTTTGGAAGTTTAGTACGGTTCTTAGCATGTTGCTCTGTAGAATTTCTACTGTGCAACTGTGGCGCGGTTTTTTTATTTATTTATTGTGGATTTTGTTCTCCTGGGTTAGGAGGTTACATCTTTTAGTAACCCATCCCAGCTATGTAGCCAGAAGCTCTGATAGTACTGGCTAGGAAGTAAACTTCAGATACTCCGTGACTCCGGAAACATTACTAATGAAAAAATGAGGTTATGATGTTTGTGTTTGCACGCAGAACACGTTAATGTCACATATAGCTGATCTACTATTACTTTTATATTGTAAGATTTAAAATACTATTAGAAGCTAGAAATTGGCCCGATCATTTCATATATCTACTCGAAAAGTAAGTGTTTTGAGAAACAGGAACTTTTCCAGACTATATGGTCAGTTATAAAACCAATGCACAAGAAAAGGGACAAGAAGGGCCAATTTATTTTCTAGATTACAAGATACGTAACAGTCAATCAGGTGACTGATTACAGTCTGGACGGCCAGGGTTGATAGAATAGAATAGTATTTACATTCCATAGATCCTTTATAGGCCTAAGCCAAGGATGTAGAACAGGTCATAGCACAAATACAGTACTTGTTTCTAGTATAAATATGAATACAAAGAATTACAGACTTTTGGAACTACAGTATTACAGCAAAATAATTATGATGAGAACCATCACCACTATTACTGACATGCATTTATAAATTCTTCTACTGAGAAGGAGTGAGATAGGAGATACTCTTTTAACGCTTGCTTAAACATTTTTATAACGTGGTTTAAACTTTTTATAGTAGGTGGAAGATTATTGAATAACTTAATTCCATTATAGTAAACTCCTTTTTGATATTTACTGAGGTTAGAAATTGGCACATGAAGGTTGTATCTGTATTCCCTACAAGAGTCTCTCCTTTTAGTGCCTGCCATTATTCTAATGATCCTCTTTTGAATGTAAAATACTTTTTTGCCGTCCATTGAATTTCCCCAGAAAATGATCCCATATGACACGATGGAATGGAAGTAAGCAAAATAAACTAATTTTAAAGTTTCTGTTTTCATGAGTGCTGTAACTGATCTCATAAAAACATGCCAAGCTTAGTTTAGGGATAGTGTATTGAATATGTGCTTTCCAGTTTAATTTGTTGTCAATTTGTAGGCCAAGAAATTTAGTTGTTTCTACTTCCTCAATTATTTTATCATCATACCCTATATTTAGATTTACACAGGTTCTGTTGTTAGTACAAAATTTCATGAAATTTGTTTTGTCAAAATGTAATGTGAGTTTATTGGCTTTAATCCATGTGTTCAATCTAGCAAAGACATCATTGATGCGATTTTGAAAACAGTCAAACGTTGTAGATATTTCATCATAACCACATGAATTTTTTTTCTCTTGGTCTCTGCATCCAGACCCACCCAGTCTCCTATTCAGTGGGCCCTTTCCCGAGAGTAAAGCGGTCGGAGCATGAAGCTGACCATGAGTACAACAGACACCTTTACCTTTGAATAAAAGAGGGATATATGGAACAGTAAGGTAGCCAAGGCTGTTAAACAATGGAACAGAAAGTCCGAAATTGGTGTTTGACATTTGTGGTCAGATGGTCACAGAGGTCAAGTCAGAGAGTTGTGTCTTGGCCGCTGGAACTTTCAGGTTGCGGGTTCGAACCCCGCTTGAATCATGCATGTGTGTCTACGTCTTTTTGTGTTGCATTTTTCTGTGCCGGTTGATGCATTGCTGCGGGCGACACCATGTCCAGGGAGTTCTACTAAAGGTCGAAATGATATCGTTTTTTGGCAGAAAATGTCGAGTTAGAGTGGGCTATTCTAAGAACGGACTCATTTACGTTCACGTTTTCCCGCGTGATATTGCATTACGCTCCTTTTTAAATAAGATGTTAAAGTCTTCTTCAGAGAATGTTTACATGAAAAACTCTTCCGAACAGTGAGGAGCACTCAGAATGTGGAGTACGCATTACACTTTTCCAGTCTTGTTTTGCAAAATATTATTGGACTGATCTGCCAATTCAGAGACTTCACTTTTCATGTAACCCAGTGCGATCGCTTCTTTATTTTTACAAAAAATTATAAACGGGCCAAAGTAAAGTACTTACCAAAGTAGAAATCCTGAAGTCAGTGGAAAAACATTGAAGACAGAAACACACCACTGTTAATCCGCGTATGATCCAGTTATCACGATTGTGTGAAAATGTATTTTATGGTATTTTAATGGGTCTTTTTCATAATGTGTGAAGAAAACGATACTCTTGTGTTCTGTGGCACTTAATATTACCGTCAGATTTCGTGTCAACCCATCCGAAGGTCAAAAAATGTTTTACCGGAAGTTGTTTCTCGTTATCTGGAAACAATCAGCTGGTCCGAAGTTGCTGATTTTAAATACACGTGCATGTAACTCCGGACCTAGACACCAAGTTACAAGTTTAAATTGCGTGACTCGATTGTAATGTGACGGTAGCAGTGAGCCTTTCTTCGTCCATACAACTGTTGCTACCGGCTTACAACTACCTGGAAACAAATCACAGGTTTCTACAAATTATGCTATGGAACCAACTGAATTTCGTCTACGCTAAAACTTGACGAGTCCAATCGTACCGACATGCCTCTTGGGAAGGGGGTTAATCGGGCGACATTCGAAGCTTTGTTGTGGAGATATAGCGAGCATAAAAGCATTTATAATTACATCAGATGGAGAAAAATCAACTTAATGCTCCAGTCGCATTTCTGCCTGTGAGAGAGCCCCCATGCCCATTGGATAGGAGGCTGTTGAGGGAGGACTCGGTCGATCTAGACGCGGTGGCGAAAAGAAAAACCCATGCCCACCCGCTAGGACTCGAATCGGAGTCCACCAGCCCAAGGCAACTCCCCATTGCCCGAGCTACCTCTGGACATAGAGGTTTGGTGGGACAGCAGTACAAATGGTTCGTGATGCAACATCAGTACAAATCTCCGTGCATATCTGTACGATGTGTGATGCCGTGAAGCATCATGTTTGCTCTTGATTTTCTGCTTTCACTGTTCCGTATCCGAGAAATGAATAAATAGCTGCCATTGAGAATCTGGTAGTCTTTCAGCAGGCGAAGACGTTCCCATCTTTCATGGAAATATCCATTTTAATATTACCCTCCCTTACATAACTAGGTCTTCTTTGTAAGATTTGAGGTTTTCCTCCAAATTTTCTGATGAAAGTCTAGTTCGCATTTCTCATCTCTCTATACCTCGTTCATCTCCTCGTCCTCGATTTGATCAACCTAAAATATTTTGTGAAGAGTACACAGCGACTTACGAAACAAAACAGTTGTTTGGAGAATTTGAGGTTTTCACGGCGGTGAGTCCGAAGGTGACTTCTTCTGAGTTGTAACGCTGTCTGGTAGAAGATACCAACGTTTCAGAGGGCCTTGCAGGTCTGTTGCTGCTGTCATTTTTCTGTTACCGTGGAAATGTCTGCGTGGAGTCATGGGCAACTACATTTTACTACCTGGCATTCTTTATAGTGTGTGGCATGCCTTTTAGGGACAGAAGGATTTGTACAGAAAATGTTGGGATTACCAGACAAGGTACTTGTCTTTATTACCTGCATAGAGGGGCTGGTGGGAAGGGCAAATCTTTCATTGTTTAGGTTTCTGTTTAGAAAGAGAACCAGATTGACGGGAAGGTCACTGATTGCTATTGCTGAAAGGACACATACTTTAACCCATAAAGTAGGCGCTAGACGGCCAAGTTCCAGACAGTAACAAGTACGTCTAAAGATCAAATAATGTTCTTATCCAGGTCTGTTTGTATCCAGCCTACCTGTCTGGGATCAGTTTGAACTTTGTGTCAGAAATCACTGTCTCCTACAGAAGAATAAATTGTTTCGATATTTTACACCAAGTTTGCCATGCAGATTGTAACTTAATTCACTGAAGGTCAGTCAGAACATATATTTATTTCGAAGATTTCTGTATCCTGGGTTGTTGCGCTGTGTAGCCTGGTCGATGTTTACCAACGTTTCAGAGGTCGTACTGCCTCCATCATCAGAGTATGAAGATTTCTGTCTCCTGGGTTGTTGCGCTGTGTAGCCTGGTCGATGTTTACCAACGTTTCAGAGGTCGTACTGCCTCCATCATCAGAGTATGAAGATTTCTGTCTCCTGGGTTGTTGCGCTGTGTAGCCTGGTCGATGTTTACCAACGTTTCAGAGGTCGTACTGCCTCCATCATCAGAGTATGAAGATTTCTGTCTCCTGGGTTGTTGCGCTGTGTAGTCTGGTCCATGTTAACCAAAGTTTCAGAGGTCATACTGCCTCCGTCATCAGGGCGATGAGTATGACGATTTATGTCTTCTGGGTTGTTGCGCTGTGTAGTCTGGTCGATGTTTACCAACGTTTCAGAGGTCATACTGGCTCCGTCATCAGGGCATGTAGCTTGAATGGGTAAAAGTTCTCGTGGCAGTGAAGATGTCATTGTCGGTCTTCTGGGTTGTATATATTTGTTTGGAATTATGTCACACTGTATTTCTTTCTATTTGAAAATGTATTATTTTAGAACATAAACTAGGTTTTCTGACTAAAATTTTTCATGCATTCTACATTCCCTATCATCTCAATTTTTTTATATTTGGTGAAGATTCAAATTTTGAATCTCATGTCACTTGCTTCTTCTTTTACTCAGATGTTCTCAAACACCCTCATTTTGTTTTATCTCTGTAAGATGAGAGACCAAGTTACATGCACATACAACATAAAAAATTAGTCTTCTGTGTTTTAATTTTTATTAATACTATTATTATATAGTAGTTAAGAAAATAAACCAAATGCTAGTAAGAATTCCCAAAATTCAATCTTATTACAATTTATTTATAAATGTATTTTATTTTGTTGCTCTCGTTTCCATGTTTTATGTTTGTTGTATTTTTAAAGGATTTGTTATCTTTATATTATGATTTTGGCCTGCATGCTAGCGGTGGGCCAGGTTCGTATGTTTGCTTCTACATGAAGTCTTTCCCACCGTCTAGTAGAGTTCTATTATCCACCCATGTACATCTAGATAACCCTTAGAGTATACCTGTCTTTGGAGTTTTCCAGAAAAAAATGCATACGTGCTACATGTCCCACCCATCTCCTTGATTTAATCACTCTTACCATGTTAGGTGTAGAGTATTATGTAATACATGTAATGAAAATGTGTTAGCATTTTAAAAGTACCAAGTAAGCACAAAGCTTCTGTAGTACTAAAAATAACATATTTTTCTTTTCAGCCTGTGCAAAATCCATTCTACAGTGCTATGGATCAAGCTAAAGAACCAGTGAAGACTCCGATGGTGTACACATGTGGTGGTAATGATTGTCATTTTCTCAAACTGTGACCTGCAGTTTTGGGGTTCCATGACTCCAGAGTGGATTACAGTGGTAGCAGACTCAGAGTAAAAGTGTTGCTTATCTTCAAATAATATTGACAATTTATTTTGAGCCCTTAGAAAGTTATGAATATTCATTGGAGACTTCCAATATCAAATTTCATCAGTTGTTGAATAGTTTTAGGGGTAGACTGGTGGACTGATGTAACGAGCCCATTTCGCATTCATTTTCTGCGCCTTTCAAGTAACTCATAAAAAGTGGAAAGAAAATCTTTGAGATAATAAACAGTCAAGGTGAAATTTGCCACCCTTTTGTATAAGTAACCTTATTTAATGTGACCATTGTAGAGTTAATTAAATTAAGAACATCTTTGAATGTGTAATGATTAACTAATCATGAATGGTTTGGATTTCAGAATGCCATCATGAAAATGAAATTAGACCTCGAGATCCAATACGATGTCGAGAATGTGGGTACCGTATTATGTACAAGAAGAGGACAAAGAGATGTATCCTTTATTCAGTATTGTGTATAATTTCATTTTCATCTTCTTCCACCTGAATAGAAAGCAAAAAAAATTCATTTCAGTTCATTTAATAAAGTGTTTGCCGACAGTGAGGAGACAATGACAGGCAGACACTGATAAAACATAAACAAAAAAGAAACAGGTTAAACTATATATATATATATAAAATAGATCAATCAAACATTTCCCGTATTGAGCATATGTCCTAATGCAGACATGGATTATGCTAATAAGGTCAAAATGTAAATGTCATTGATATAATTAAGTTGAACAATAAATTAAATGCAGTGTTTGATAAAAACAGAAAAGCCAATTACAGGGAAACAAAAATAAAAATGCACTCTATGATACAAAAGGAAAAACAAATAAATGCATAAATTATACCATATTTCCTTAATTTGAAGATGCCATTGACTTAGTGATAGGCTTTCAGGAGAAAAGATCCTGTTGCAACCTTTCATACTATCAGATGTAAGACACCCCAATTTAAGAAATGTTAAAATGAAAAAAAGTATTTTAAAATTGAGGAAATACTGTAGTTCCAGTAACTGCAATTTTGCGTATAACAGAATGTTTCACAAAAGTCTAATTATTATTATAACTCGTTACCATACAAAATTTCCCTTCTTCAGCTGCTGTTATCCATTAATTATTGTCATCATATTATATAGTAGAAAAAGAGCCTTACGGCATGCTCAGCCAATATTGTTGCAGGCATGTGTTAGAAATTCGAATCCTTTTTCTTACATTGTTATGCACACAGGAGTTCATTTAAAAGCTGACCATTATCAGTCCATATTTACACATTGTTGGTATGGATCTTACACATCTTCATAACGCTGTTTTTGCTGAATGACCCTTCCATATAGATGTATTTACGTCATTATATTTTCTATGATTGCCACGTCCTGTTCTACAAATGGGATTGTGCCACTGAAACCAGTTTTGAGATTCTCTATTGGTCACACATTTGTCCTTTGTGTTTCCTAACATCTCTCCAGCAAGCAGTATGTGTCATTTATCATTAGTTTACACATAGCTGTGACTAACAATGAGAAGTGTATGCACATAGTGGAAGGAACATCATGTGTAACTATATGAACTGATACTCATTGCTGCTGCACATTTCTCATCACTCAACAAAGTCAAAGTTACCAGTTTGTCTCACACATAATTACAGAACCCATTAAGCACATCACTTATGAATTAGTTTAGACCTGTACCTCTTACCCGCTGTCCTACGTGAGTGATTAAATGCAAGTTGCGCGGGTGAAGCGGCTGTTTGTGTGGTGCTGTCCTAGGTTCCAGCGAAGCGCTCGGGAGAGGGAAGCAGCCAAAGTCTGAGATCAAATACTTTGAAATTTTCGAGCGAGTCGCTGCGCTGGCCAGTAAGGCCTTTGCGCAAGAAAGCTCTGACTGTGCAGTACAGGGAAGGCGCAAGCGCAGGAAGACCGTGTGCTTCTATTGCGGTCTCTCACGTAGGACACAACAAGCGATTCCCCGCTTCATATGACACCCCGTGCTGCTTATGCAGCTCGCTAGTTATCGCTTACGTAGGACATTGCCTTAGGTTTAGTTAAATGGTATAGTTACATTCCAACATATTATTTATGGCAATAGTATATACAGTTTTACATTTCTCTAAGGTTTACATTGATATTATTTTTGTATAATGCTGTAGTTAAAATACTTTTTTGTATTAAATTGTTTCATATGTATGTACCAAATTTTGATTCTTAATTGCTTAATTTCCATTTTTCTTTAGATTTGACCTTAACCTCATAAAAGTGGTTGTGTTTGATGCCCGTTGATTATAAGGAGCAGTGAGGAGAGAAAAATCTGCCTGAGATTCCACATTCTATTGTACATAATTATCACTAATAATTGTATGTTCTATAACGATTCAAATTGAAATTAAAGAATTTTTTTAAAAAATGACTTCTGTATTCCAAGTAAATGGACTTCCCAAATCCATTCATTGTATTGTCTGCATTCAACCACCTTACTCAATGTTTATACTGAACATAACATGTGTAAGTTATTATTTGTGAACAAAAATAACCTGAGTGTACATTTGTGGGGTGTTAGCTGCCTCTCCTGCTTAAAACAGAAACAGACCATCTGTACTGTTCTCACAACATCAGTGTGATCAATGTGCACTAGTCATCACCTAAATATAGTGTTCAGTATTTTCGGTACTGAAGATACTCATTCAAAAATTTCAAAGGAACTATTTTCCAAGTGTGAAGAACATACCCAAGGCAACAAATGTATACTCTTGTGATGAGAGAACTGGTGCAGGATAGGGACTGGTGGCAGTCTGTTGTGAACATGATATTGAACCTTTCGGTCCTATAAAAGGCAGTGAATTTCTTAACTAGCAGAGCAGCTGTTGGCTTCAGAAGGACCATTATGTTATGCAGAAACATCATAAAGAAGTACTCACAAGCTGCAAATGTGTTATTTACACCATATTCCGTACACACCTCTTATTGTTAACTAGAGTACAGTTCTTCAAACATGCACAGATGATTATGGGTAATAATGTCGTCCCATATGTGCTTCTGTCACACTGATATGACCAATTGTAAGAAATCAGAAATTACTGTAGTTGGGATGAATCTGTGCATCTAAGGATCATTAGAAGTAAGTGGCAAGGAGATCAGAGGATATGAGGGTAGCAGATATGCATGCACTGACCATACTATGAGCATTACTTTGCAGTTCGCTGTCTCATTTCCTGTGTTGATGCCTTTCGTTTATATAGTATGTGTGTTTTCCTTCTGTTCCAAGCTAATGACACAGGCAAAGCGCACAGTTCGATCCAGGATACCGTACGATTTTGGGTTTGTCCTCAGTGGCTTAACGTCCATAAATTTTGTGAAAATTCGGCCAGCCATTTTAGGGTTATTATGTCACCAAGGTCGATGACATGTGCAGATTATTATTGGTGATTGTCATCTTTGTCCCACCCCACGAATTCGAGGATCCGTCACGTTGGTATTACTAGTTGTCGGAAATTAAAACGTACCATTTTTGATTATTCCCAAATGGCACAACGCCCACCACACATTTAATGAAAATTCGTCAAGTCATTCTTGTCTTTTGGACATCACGGCTGATGACGTCATTACGCATGGATATGACTTGCCTCCAATGGCATCTCCATACCAAATTGCATTAAAATATTTCCCGAAGCTAGTTCGAAAGGCCAGTGATAAATGCCAGCACGACTTTTCGGCTGATAGTCGCGACAGATATGAACGGGCCCAGAAGGTAGTATTTGCAGAATAAGCGTAGGAACCCCTACAATATTAGAAAATGAGTTTACATATAAGTTTTAAGTTATTTTAAAAGTGTCAATGTTTAAAGCAGCATTGCGCAAATGTTTACATACCATTTGAAGTCTGGTATATTTTTTACTGTATGGATGATGATCATTATTTTAGGCCTGCACGGGTACGAAGTGATGATGGCCTGGGTGACCAAAAGGCGTATAAACTATAGTGAAGAGTGTCGGGTATACACGGTTCTTGCGATAAGTGGCTAGTTATGATAAATGACATCTCGATCATGATCGAGTGCAGTTACATTCAGTTCGCAGTGTGGGGTTGCTGTGAAAGTATGCTCGGTGTTTGTGTGGTAATTTAGAACCAATTTATATTCAAAGCGATACAACTGTGTGACTAAAAGCCAACGAAAGGAAGCATCACTCATCACTGTACGTGCCATGTGAGTAATGAATGTTTTTATTATATTTAATTTCTCGTTCTCTTTTTAGAACAGGTTAAATATGATTATGCTATCTTAACTCTTATCAACAAATAACGTGGCCAAAGTACTTATTGTCAGCCAAATACAAAATATTAGGTTATGCCTGATTATTAATTCGAGTGAAAAACTGTCTCAATCGGTATCTTTTTGAGGAACAGGTCGGCTACTTCGATTCATTTTGTATTTCACGAATTCGTGAAAGGAACAACAATTCAGGTAGTTTACAACATTATGTATGTGTCCATTGCTGATTGCCAGTTTTCATAGCCGTTCACGGTTCAGTACCTTCGATGGGGGCGGGGTTCATGTTGCGCGCTGACCCATTCCGGTCTTCTTGGTCCAATAGCTACCTGAAGCGATTTATTCGAGTCAAACCTTTTCGTTTTGGTACAAGCTTTGGGTACTGTGGGTTTTGTTTGGTAACTGTTTCATATATGTCTTCCTGTGGGAAGAATACTTAAGTTGATGTGACACACGCACCTTTTAGGGTGTCATTGGATGGTAAAATGTGGTTCTGATCATGAGTCAGATTTTGCTGAAGAGAAAATAGTGGTGGCATGTGAGCACGATGTATACAACTCAAAAGGAACTATAACACATCCGTGTATTCTTCCCCCACGTGTTCTTGTCCACGCTCGTGGAAGGCAACGTATAGGCTCGTTTGTTTTCATGTCGGCAAGAAATCGTCCCAAAGCTTCGTCGATGTTGCTTCGGTGAGGAATCGCGACGCTCGGAGACGTTCCTATATCTTCGAAGCCTGCAGGGATAGAAAATGCGTATTATAGTATGCGGGGAATATGGCGGTTCAACAGTTTCCCACTGTCAACATGATAGAAAGTGTTCTATCAGCCAGATTGACGCTAGTCTTGTCATGTACTACGGTTGGTGGGGAGTGAGAATGCGACCGCCTTCGTCTGAGTGTTGGATGCAAACAATGCCCGAGGAACGTGTGGTTGTACTGAACGTTGACTCTGGGACTGCATGGCACATAATGACACCACCATGTCATATTTCATCCATGAATGTGATGCATTGCAGGGATGCATCCTTTTATGTGGCATCATTCTAAGTGGATGTTAACAAATACATAACAAAGCTACGTCTCCGTTTCGGAGAAGCAGTGAGGACCCAATGTGATGGAATTCTGTGTATCTTGAGGATGTATTAAAGAATGTGCAGTGCTGCTGTATGGCTTACCCCAGCTTCACTTACCAGTTGTTGCACTGCCCACCATGTGCTACAATGACAGAAACTGCACATACAGGTTTGAGATAGTGGGTCATCCTGCACAGTGCTTATCTTTCATCCAGCCCCACCCACCATGAAATGATGACACCCACTAATCAGAAATCTGAGACCACATGCTTCCCACAGAATTATCCTCAGCAGACTTGTTCTTATCTGGGATTGTTTCTTCAACGTTGTAAACTTAATTTTAGATTACTGTTATGACATCCTAACTTAAATTTCTTGCACACGTACCAGATCAGTGTGCAGGAGTGCTGACTGATAAATATGCCACCTGTCATTACAGCGAACTGCAAATTCAGTTGCCTGTCTACAGTTTTGTTCATGTATGGCAGCATTTCCACTATTTCCTGCAACTCTTTCTTTTATTTTGAGAACTTCCACAACATTTGAATACATTTTTTTTCTTGGATATTATCCATCGTCTGGTAAAATATAAAACGTAAAACGACGTTTCGGAGATGGTGCTCTATCTCCGTCTTCAGGTTCCCCCATCTCCGAAACGTCGTTTTACGTTTTATATTTTACTAGACGATGGATAATATCCAAGAAAATTTTTTTTATTCAAATGACTCTTCACCATCGTCAAGAAGTTTTAGATTTGACTTCCACAACAGTTGAAATATTTTGCTTCCCTTGAGTGCTTTACATTACAGTGCCCTGTGAGTCTCTTTGCTAGATAGAATGACAACAAATGTGTAAATAGTTAGAACAAACAATCCAGGTTATGGTATCTGCATGACATCCAAAGGATTGTCAAGAATTACATCATGCATATGAGTGTACTGATTATCAGAATTGTTTTGTTACACAAGATGTGAAGTCAGTTCATGGAAATACAAGTAAAAGAAATGGTACAATCCCAGTTTTTGACAATTTTTACCAATCAACAAATGGGAAGCCCTATTTTTTCTTCATCCAGAACAGCTAAAGATCATCAGAATTAGAGGACAGTTTTCTTATGAACTTATTTTGAAGCTTGCTGTGGCAGATGTTTAATACGTATTAATTCTCTTGTATTTTATGAAAATGGCAAGTTGAAATTTCAGATCACATCCATTCTCTTCTTCATTTCAAAGGCCTGCATAAATACTGGGTACCAGGTCATCATGGTGTCTAATATTTTCATGACAGCATCTAGAATTTTCAGCATACTATTATTATGATTTTTATCTTTGCACATTATTATGAACATTTTCAGTATTTTGTGTGAAAAGAGGAATGAGTATGTAATTCCTTAACATACATGCTACAAATATTATTTTTATTTCTAATATATGTCCCCGCCCAGCTCCTAGTTTTTGGCTCCTCAACGTATAAGAAATTTACGGTGAAGCTGACAACTAGCATGTGTTGCACATAATTTCAAATATTCTGTGAGGAATATCACAAAATCCTTATTTGTATGAAAAGTGCAGGTAAAAGTAAAACATCTTTGATTTTCCATTTTCCCTTAGATGTTTGGTTAAAAGATGATAACCTCTCTTACATTTTTGTGTAGGTGGTGCAACTGGTTGTCAAAAATAAACATTCTTGTTCAATACCAATTTGCTCACTCACTTACTATTTAGAATAACAAAGGATGTAGTTTTGAGACAATCATTTTAGGCCCTCTATGCCAAATGATTTGAAACTACAATTCTCATTACAAAATGTAGTTAATAAACATTCCTGTTTAATAATTTCATGTCCACATATAAAACATGACAAACTATATTTGAAACATTTTTTTAACAGCAGAGGAACAGTGACTTCAGTTTCTCACTTTATTGTGGACTGTTTGTGCTTTCTGTTAAATGTGACAACTAGACTGTTACCCAGGTCTCAGTTGTACACCTAGAAGATACTAACTTAATGTGACAACATAAAACTTGGTAAACACAGAGCCCATTGATTTGAATACGAAACTTTGGTTAAAGAATCCCTCTATGTAACACTCACAGTTCTGAAAAACTGAGATGTACAAATTGCAGCCTTTGGTTCAGTATGAAAATTCACTCCTAAGTCCCATGGGAGAGGTGTAATAAGAACAGAGAAACAGGCTTAATGAGGCAAAGTCTTTCAAAACTGTATTTAAAGTTACTACTAGATTTACATGTTTATATTTTCAAGAGCAATGACTTAATTACATTCAAGGCATTTTTGAGGTAAACATTGGTATAGTTTAGTAGTGACAGAAGGGAAGGGGTCACAAGTCCATAGTGATAGAAGTTAGTAGTTGATAACTGATATGAATCAATACCTGTAGATGGATATTTTTCTTTCTCAGTCAAAAATAAATGCCCATACAATCAGTTTCTTTTAAGGTTCCTATGTCATTACAGCAGAAATAGTAACATGATAACATTCATGAAACACAATTACTCAAAGTTTGTATGGGTTATAATTTTTCAAGAGGACATACAAATATGTTACCATGTAATTAATAACAAGGAAGCTGGGTTAACTTTCAATCTGAGCAATTTTTCCCCACACATTATCTGGAAGCCTTACAAATAGGTTCTTACAAAACTAATTAGTTTTCGTGCAATATACTTATATGTGTGTGGTGATTTCATGTTTTGATGCATAATACTGTTCACTGGAAGATACCAATTCAGCATATTTTGAAGATCCCATTAAACATATGTAGGGTAAATATATCCAAAACAACTTGAGAAATACTGTAAGATTCATAAACTAGACCCAGACATCAAAATGTAATTTTACATGGTACTTTCATTATTAAAATATCTACAGCACAGTATCTCAGAAAATGGTATGTTTTAATCCTTTACATAACAAGTATATAAAGTTTAGTTCAATAAACAGAAGAATCATCAGATTGTATACAGAAACAACTATGAAATAACAAGATTTTTGTGGATATTATACAGATACTTTTGTTGATCAACATATAAATCACACACGATATTCCATTTGTTTGCTCAGAAATATGGGTGGTTACCTTCTTCAATAATAAAAGTAAATGTATGACAAAGTTGATGAGAATCAGGCCATGAAAAATCAATATGATGATAAAGCACATGTGCTCTAACATGTGATCTATCAAACAGATTTTAGAATATCCTGATTATAAGCTTTAATGGTGATTCATTATTGATTCTGCACCTGTAGAAGTTGGATTCTTGCTTACGTTTCAGATGACCATATTATTAATATCATCATGGCTGGTGAAGTATCATGTTTTATGTACATGGAATGTTTGTCTTTTCCGAGACACATAATGTACTGTGCTGCTCAGTTAAGGAACTACTGTTGATACATGGCATTTGCTAATGCATTGATACTCTGAGACTTATATGGAAACAGCCAGACACATGTTCAGAACAGCAACTGAATGATGTAACAAAATAAATTTTATTTTAATTAAAGGATAACTTGCACTGTATCATGTAGTTCTAGTATTAAATGCAGAAGTGCATTGAAGTTTGCTCCATGATAAAGTGTCTTCTCTTTATATTTACAAGGCCTCTGGATTAATTCCTGGGAAGGGTTAGTCTTCTTCAGTTCATATGCCTATGTCACATTACATATTTCACTTCATCTTTTGCATGGTACATAACAACCAGCTTTGCAATTCGCATTCACATAATGCACGACTTAACACATTCTGGGTGCCAGGTAGCCATGACATATATCACGTGGTGGCATCCACTTCTATCAACAATGCTTGGCAAGAATATAACAAATTAAAATATTAGACCAGACATTGGCTACATGCCAAAATGGCTGCAGATTTTGGATATCTGACATAAAGTACACTCCTCTAAGTCAATACAGTTTATACGGGACATTTCAGTTAGTGTTGCACGTTGAATATTAGAATCAGACTCCCCACACAGTGTTGAATTTCTTTAAAACCCTGTATTTCCAATTTCTTTTATTTAGTCATATTTACATATTCCCAAATAAAAGTGCCCAGTCAACAAATCTCTGTTGTATTAAGGAGTGCCTCTTATTTTGTAAATGGTCTGTTAAGTATTCATCTTGTTTGTGTATTTGGTCCCTGGGTGTTGCAGCCTGTTCTGATGACACATTGGATTTCCACAAAATTCCCCACTTCATTTGAAAGAATGTAAGAATATGTATCCAATATGCTTTCAGAGATATTCACGTGTTTTATTTGGTCCAAGATATATTAAAACCTAGGTCCATATATAAACCTGAATAATTCTGTAAGATGGATTTTGTAAATTTTCAAGCCAAATGAACATGACTTGAAATTTGACATTTTCTCTGTATCCATTTTTTTAAAACTCGGTAAATAATTTCACTACATATTTCCTGTGGGAAGTGGCTGAACCTTTTGTATTCATTCCTTACCTCTTTCTTTCCATCTTACTTCAATTAAATTAATTAACACTTTCTGTAAATGTTCTGTGTTCAATCACAAATTAAGTCCTGTGTTCAACAGTATTTCTCAAGCTGTCCACACGTATTGAAAGGAACAGTGTGCCTTGTAGATACATTAGCTTAGTTGAGTGGTCTCCAACCTGTGGGGACACATGTTATGCCAGGTAACTGCTGAGTGTTTGGAATTTGTATTAAAAGCAAAATTATATTACCACACATAAGGCTGGTACCAGAAAGAGTTACTACCAAAAACAGGGTTATTGAAAAAGAACTAGTACTAGTTTTAAAGTTAAAGATGTCATTTAATTTGTGACATATAATTCAGACATGCTTAATCATAAAACAGACAAAATGGAATACTTCTTGGATGTCTACGGGACTACAAACAGTGCTCAAATCAAGACTCGGTAAGGACGGCAGAAAACTGAGTTTCTGCAGATATAAAAAGGGATCTCATTTTGTTTCATATTTCACAAGTTATTGTACATTGAATGTAGGGAGTTCTTTTTCAATGACTCTGTACTATCCCATTTCTTCTTTCTGCATTTTGCATAGCCAGTTATATGTATGCATGATTTGAGGTTTTGACAGTGGTGAGTATGAAGACAGAAATCTTCAGTTATATATATTTCAATGAAGTTTTCACTCTCCATCAGAAACTAACCTTCCTGAAGTTTTGAACAGTAATGATATAGTTTTTCTCTGAGAAACGATTACTTTCCTACTGTAAACAAGAATAACATGTACACCCAACAACATTACTGATTTAGTTGTGGAGCATGAACTTAAAAATTATAGTCTCATTCACTGCCTTTGTACATAAACAAAGGTTTAAATTCCAAAGTAGCAGTAGTGTGGGCATGATATGTATGACCCTCTGGGCAGAAGTTCAGAACAAAAGCTACAGTATTTCTGACCACCTCTCTGCAGTCATTTAACATAACACTATTGACTCCTAATAAAATTCAAGTTTGCATTATCTGCCCCAAACCCAGAACATACTTTATGGGCAATTTATTTTCTAAGACATGTTTCACATCCCTGAAACAATATCAAATCTCAGTTACTTGTGTAACACAGGTTAGAAATACTACAGACACTTTCTTCTGGAAACCACGCTCTGTCATAAAAGATACAGGGTTATGGACCCTTAAGGAAGTAGTACAGAAAATGCTTCTTAATGACAACCATTCTACCTGTTGTTATGGCTCAAATCGATCAAAGTTTACAAAAAAACTTATGTCTTCAGGTAGAACATTTTGGAGACCACTGCTTTAAAAAATAAAGAGGTTCCAGATTGATTCTACACAAGTTAGTGAAGTCAAAAGATTACAAATGTTTACATATAAAAGGAATACACAGTTTACAAATCCAGTGCATACTGCAGTGTGTCTAAGTTGCAATTACAGTATGACTTAAAAATTATGTGGGTTTTGTGTGTTGGGTAAAAGCCAGTTTTGGGAAATAGGTATGCCATATTTTGTCAAAAAATTCTTTCGGTAATACATATTTACAAAATAATGATATTTATAATTTTAAATAGCATTTATATATAATATTTTATCATAAAACTGTTCTACTAGGAAACATGGGTAATATGTACAGAAATAATGTCCTCTCTTATTATATGTAAAAAATGCCTACATTCAACAACATGGCTTCTCAGTATTTTCTGCGAATATTTCTTTTCTGTACAAATATGAAAACTTGAAGCCATTATCAGCCATAAATTTTACAAAACTTTGCATGCATACATTTCTGTGTTATTCATTTAAAAAGATCCCACTCAATACTGAAGCAGGTTAAAGGAATCAGAGGGGGTGGATAAAAACTTTTGGCAACTAATGGACAGTATTCTGTAGGAAGTCTTGCTAGGTGACAGCTGAAGTTAATTAGTGTCATTTTCAAAACATGATCACTAAGAAATATTTTTGTAACAATCTCAAGAAAACAACAACATAACTATTTATAACAATCATAAGACTTCCTTGTTTTATAAAATTCAAACAAGAGACATAATTCCAAAATTGTACACAAAATACTTAATGTATAAGAAAGAACAGCAATGTTAGAGATTTGAATCAAGCTGCATGAGCAAATTATACATTTAGTATTATGAGAGTGATCATTTCAAAGCACTGACTTGCACCAAATGATAATTTTTTAATTATATTTTTCTCCATGTCATTATCAAATACTATATTGTTTCTTTTATTAATGTAACAGTTTTGCAGATCTGATAATTGATATTTACTGTTTGTACCATAAACACAGAAATTTTATTGGGTCATAACTGTTATTCAGTAATAAATTAAGCTTGCCATATATGTGTCTTTTAACTATGTGTTAGATCAGAGATTGCTATCTCTTATGGGTGAGGGCAACTAGAACGATATTTAAAATCAAACTGGGCACCATATGTTTATACTCCCACCAAAACATTTTTCATTTAAAAGCACCAACTTTTAAGGATATGCAGTGTATGCTTTTAACCTTACTCCAGATATGGCAAGGTATAAACAATGATCAAACTCCCCGTCCCTCAGCTGCTTACATGAAAGTTCTCACATGCTCTCAGGTACAATGATGCCTGTGGGCATACAGCTAGCAATCTCTGGTGTAAACATCTCCAAAAGGTTTGAAGGTCTATAACTGCTGCTACTGTACTGAAAATAAGGAAGAATATCTGTTAGTATAACAACCAATCACTTTACAATGGAGCAGAGCAAATTCCCAATATTGTTATATTAAATATACTCCTGACAATGGACAGTGATCAACCCAGCTGCTGTGTAATGATTCAGTCATTGGAGACATTTAAAAAACATTAGAAAGTGAGAAAATTTAAAGATGTTTAGTATACAGCTCTGCACAGTAAAAGGTTAACATCAGAATTGGGTTTAAAATTTGATGTCTAATATAAATTTCTGTAACGTGTTTCATCAAGTTACAGAATTAATATATGCCATGTAAATATTACAGAATCAATTACAGCTCAAAAAAAATTGATTCATTTCACCACTCAGAGAAAAATTCTACTCATCAGATATTTCCTCCACAAGAAAAGCTGTCATGTACCATCATTGTCAGCAAACAACTTATTACAATTAGCCTAACACAGTGTATTGGCTGCTCTTAGCATCTTACATGTATCAGAACAGTAAAAAGTGAAACAAAGAATGTATCATTCACATAATGATGAAAAACAACCAGCAAATTGTGCTTCTAATATTTTTCCTATAGCCCACTATTCAAACACATCAGTGTCATGTTAACAAAATCCCTCAAACCCACATCAGTTAAAAATTTACTCTTCAGTGTCTGTGGAGAAACAAAACATAAAGCTGGAGAGATTATCAATTAAACAAACTAAAGATTAACTTGTTTGCCCTAGTTTTTCACTCAACACAGGCAAGCAAATAAGTGAGTTTGTTGAGCCCTGGCACTAACAGGTATTTGTTTTGCTTCTCTTATTTTGTATCGAAAAGTATCACGCCCTTTACAGAAATGAAAAAAAGAAGGGGAAAAAAAGAAATATATTTTTGTATACACAGCAGTGTGAAGTTTTTGTTTTATATAGAAGTGTTCAGTTGAGAATCTTTCCACAATAGTGCTGTATTTAGTTAATTATATGTTAAAAAGATGGCTCACAGTGTTAATGTGGCTTGATTATCAAGCTCTAATTCAATATAAAAATTTTCCAACTCAGATGTAACTAGTCTTCTCTTAGCACACAGAATTATCAACACAGACAACATACAGTAAGAGTTGGTTGTGGTCTTCTGGGTTGTGACAGCATCACAATGTAGGTAACAGTCAACAAACAGACCATTTCCTGGGACCAAAGCAGTTCACATGGGATATATAGTAGGTAGGGCTCTCCCGGAAGATGTTTTTTGTGGTTTTCTTAGTCCTGTATCTATCCTTTCTTTACTCATCTACTGCTGAGTCACCATCAGATATAAACTCACCTCTACATTCCATTCAACTTTATTAAATCCTATCAACCACCATTCAATATTAATTTTCTGGAACATTTTACAGTTTGTATTGAGAGCAATAAGTATTGTGTAAACTTTTTTTATACAGAGTAAAGGATTCTATTTCATGAAAACCAGATAACAGTATTAAATTAAAATAAACTAGCAACTTAGATTTGATTCTGACGACTGAGAACTGCTTTCGCAAAACCTGTTGTTCTGGATTTACATCAAACACAGAGAAGAAATAAGAATAAAATAATATAATTGGGAGATAATTCTTTAATGGAGGGCAGGGAACATTATGGTTGGAACTCACACTGTTCTATTTACAAACATATATAGCTTGGGCATACACGTGGTGTAGCGGACTGTGTGACACATTGGCATACTATTAACCCCACATCTGAAGTCCACCAGCAGCTTTGCAGTATGGGGAATTAAAACCCCTATTCCCATGTGACAGATGTTAAATAATGTGATACCAAATAGGATAACACATTTTAGGTATACTGGACCAGTTTTAGTTATGGCTGGGCCTGTCTAAACTGACTGTGAACGTCTCTGTGTAAATGCCAATATAATGCCACAATAGGTCACAGTTCCTTCCATGAGTCACATATTAGGCCTATTTGCATACACTAATATTCTCTAAAACAAATTTTTGTAATTTGTATGCCTTTCAGTCACGTAATTAAAACTGAAAGTAAAATCTTGTGGCAGGCTGACCTAATTTCAAAATATATTAATAATTAAGAACTATTTAGATCAGGGGTGAGAAATTATTTTTTACTTGAGGGCCACATTGATGTATTTTGAAGAGAATGTAGGCCAGAGAACATCACAAGAAAAATTGTTAAAATATTCTTAAATAGTTACTATTTTATTCTCACTGACTCAATATACTGATAACCAACATGTAAGAATTCTATTATCAGTAATTAATTAAACTATATGCTAAACTCTGGTGTACTCAAAGTGCTAAACAAACATGAGCTGAATTCGGTGTAAGCCCCACTCAAGGTTTATTTATGCTTAGTTGTAAGTTTAGTACATGCAAACAGTATATACATGTACTAGGGATCCAAAAATCTAAATTTATTTTAAAATCTACACTTTTATCTATTTATTTTTAGAGTACAGTACATTCTATACATTATATTTATCCTTTGAGATTAAGAGATTGCTTAGGCTGTTCTAAACAGACATTTCAATAAAATTAATGTATCTATGTTACAGATATGTAATAATCAAATAATGAAACGTATGTGGATTTATATTAAGATTTAACAGCAGGGTACAATTTATCTCTTTTCTGTTATAACTGTAGAGTTGGGAAGTATATTTTTAAAATATTTAGTGGTCTAATGTTTATCATCATATTCAGTGCACTGTTTGACACAAAGCCAAAAACAGGATAACAGTATCCATTTAGTCCAGAAAAGTTGTTGTAACATTCCTTTTCAAATCTTAGTCTCAACTACATGTCTGAGGTAAGAAAATCATCATTCACTTAAGCCAAAGGAAATGATTACTCAAGGTACATGCTTTGAAAAGATCACCCAACAGTATTACCAACACAAGTATAACATCATTACAAGTAGTTTTTCGGATGTGTCCCATAACATTTCACCCAAGTTGAGATATTCCATTATAGTACACAGAAATAGGCAACAGTCACTGTGAAGTGGTCAGTTTGTCCTTTTGTTGGTGCATTACTAGATGGCTCTGAAGTATCTGCTGAGAGATGAAACTGGCATCACAGATTTCACAAACAAACAGCCTAGCTTGAGCATGGGATAGGACATGCTGAAACAAAATTACATATACATTAGACAAGGTACTAAATACTGATCAGAAGCCATTGTCTTGTTTCCTGTATTGTGTCAATTGTATAAGACATTACATGTGATGTTCTAAAACAGAAACATGCAGGTGGTGAAAATTAAATTTATAGATATATGTGATTTTAGTTAGAAAGCAACTTGTCTTTAGGGATTTGAGGTTCTCATGGCAGCATGTATGAAGATAGCTGTCTTCTGGGTTATAGCTCCATGAAGTCTGGTAGAAGTTTACTGACTTTTCAGAGGTCCTTGCTGCCTTATTGTCCTATTGATGGAGACAGGAAGCACCTCTAAAATGTCAGTAAACTTCTACCAGACTTCATGGAGCTACAACCTAGAAGACAGCCATCTTTCAACCAGGCTTTACTTCCTGAAGCCTTGGTGAGAAATTTCCATGCTGATAAGGTCTTCTGTGTAATATCATGACATATACTTACACATCAGTATACCAAATTTTACAACCAGGTGGTTAGTACTCCTGTTTCATAAGAAGGAGATCTTGGGTTTAAATCTTGGCCCAGAGACCAACTATCCAGACTAAGGCTTCTGTGGTTTTCCTCAGTCTCTCCAGGCAAATGCTGGGATAGCACTTTAAATTAAGCCATGACCACTTCCTTTCAAATTCATTATTCATTAATCATCCCATCATTCAATACTATATATAGCCTGAGCTACTGACAGCTTCATTAAATAAACCATGCTAAATTATATGTAATGAATACAGAATTATGTAAATAAGGAGTTTCATATGTTTACAAAAAGAAATGTACACAATTTTTTTGAGAAAATTGCAGAGAAAATTGTAGTTTCCATTACTGTTAGAGCAAAGTCCTGTTTAAGAAGGTGTTAAGTCATATGATTTGAGGTTTTCACAGTGGTGAGTCTGAAGATTGCTGTCTTCTGGGTTATTGTGCTGTGTTGTTTGGAAATCTACCACACTACACAGCGCAATAACCCAGAAGATAGCAATCTTAAAGTTGTTAGTCACTCAGCTTATCAAAAGATTACGTGCCTTTTATGGAACCTCAACATTCACTATCATGTTCACCAGAGCCAGTAACTGTGTGCTATCCTAAGCCACTTTCATCTAATCTTCTTTCTCATACCCTAATTTCTTTAAGATTCATTTCATTAATATTATCCTCTTATTCATGCCTAAGCCTCTTCTTTCATGTACAATATAAAATCTGTACTGTTCTATATGTACCTCTTTGCATGTGGCGTTTAGTTTCATTTTCATGTTCTGTCATTATTTTTTAAGTTCAAAAGTGTTATGGGTTCTTCAATCAGAAAAGTACAGCACACTAATCTAGGACATTGGGTCTCTTACCTCATTATCTGAACAAATCAGAAGTGTTACAAACCAATACTTAGTTGTTAAGGCAGTCCTGCCTTACAGTAGTAATTAACATGATAATCCAGGAAACATTCAACATTATGTGATAATGTGGAGCATGTTTGGTTATTACATTCCTGTGTTTAGCCATATTTATATGGAAACTTTTTCACAGTATGCAATTAAAGTAACTAGCTGTGATATGTTTTACATACAACCAAAACATTACAGAATAACTGCATTTTGATGGGGGAGAGCACTTGCCTCAGTAAGAATCAAATGACAAAGGTAAGCAAGTCATCTCTGAACCCTCACATAAATAACCTCTTTAGATTTTGACTGATATAAATCTTAGTACTGAAAGTATTGCTGGTTTTACATACTTTTTGAAGAGATTCCTGGCACGATTGCACTTTTCCGCAGAGATCACAGTTGAGCTTGGTCTGATGGCTGTCTGGAGCACTACTGACCCCTTTCTGCTGCTCTCTTGTTGGTGACTGTCTACTGTCCACTGATTCACAATAATCCCTTGTGGCAGACTGATCACTTTTGGCACTTTCATCTGTGTTTTGTTGTCTGGATTCATCGGAACTTTGCACCTTCAGTTCTGTTCTACTAGCATTAGTTTCTGACCTCTGGCACTGTATATCTAAATCATCTAGTGTAACACATGCTTCCATCACATGATCTACTGAAACACCTTTTGTATCCTCTACCATTACCTTTCGTTTCAATTGTAAGCAACTGTCCTTTTCAGAATTTGAGTCTTCCACTTCCATCTTTTGTATTTTTTCACTCCCATTTGCTTTAGCATGAATATTAGCCACTAATTTATATCTTGAACTCCTAATTTCTTCCTCTGAAGTCATCTGGTAATTCTCAGTGGTCAGTTTACTTCCCTGATCATCACCACTTGCTGCCATCACCCTACTTTTCAAGTTCATAGAATCACTATCACTCTTCAGATTGTCTCTTTTGTTAAACTCATCTACACCTGCACAATTGTATCTTTCCATTGTGGGCATATTGGTGGGACTGGACATTTTGAAATCCTGACAATCAGGTGTAGGCCTTTTGGAAAATGGTTCAAGGATACTGGAGTCCTGTATTTCTTTACTGCTGTCTGTCATGGAAGGTCTTTTACGAACGTGACTTTGACAGTCAACAGTCGAGGATTTGTTCATTTCATCAGATGAAACTGATAATGGTGTGTTTAATTTTTGGTTATGTAATGTTGGCACTTTTGTTGTGAGCACTATAGTATTATCAGGTTTGGTACTGGTAGCAGTGGACTGTGACACATCCTCAGTCATGTCCGTGCTTGAGTCATGCTCGACAAATGAGTGGACCTGGAGAGCTCCGAGATTAGGTAATGTCTGCTTGCAGAGTGAACAGCTGAACCTGGAGTTTGGTCCACCATCCTGACACACATCATCAAGAAGTGCACATCAGTAACTCAGTAGACAAAATTGCATAGCTAAGGATTTGAGGGATGTTTGTGATAATTTAACTGGGATATCAAATCTCAAATTTGGATATATATATATATAGACAGGTTTCTGTTTCTTAGAAAATACAAAAAAACATTTTAATTTTACTGCTTACACTTCAGGTTATTGTGTCACTGTTTTGAATGTACCAATAACAATTCAAGAGAGAGAGAATTCTTGTCATAGTTTCTCATTTCAGTAATATTCATTTTAAAAAGGAAACAAATGAGTGAATATTTCAGTTCATCCAATCAGGAAAGTTGTCACTAAGTTTTTGGAAATTTCTGAAAATCTACACAAATTATCAGAGGAGTGTAAGAAGACAGAGTATTTGCTTTAGTGAGTTACAATCTTGTTTCGGTTATTTTTAATATACATTCAACAACATATTTTTTAAAGTCATTCAGAATTTCAAGTGATACCTGTTTTGGTTAAAGTATCAAAGGAAAAGGAAAAATATCCCTATGCTAAGCACACCATGACGGTGCAGAGAGGAGTAGATGTGAAGTTTCAAATGTTTTTGCTAACCTTGTAGGAAGTATCATATTAGGATGAATTTTTAATGATTTCCTGACACTAGACTTACTGAGTACCTGGTAAAGGTGGTTAGAAATTATTGTTATAGAGTTAACACTCACATTATCCCCATCAGAGGCATCCTCGTAGTCTGCTTCCTGTGGATGCTGAATGTCACTGATGTTCCCACCCCTCTGTCTTACATTCAAGGACTCTTCCACTCCATTTGCTCTCTCCACTTCATAATTTGACAGCTGATCACCGTTACCTTTATTTCCATCTACTTCAGACACCGGAAATACATGCTCTGGTTTATTTAATTGATTTTGGCTAAATTGTCGTGCAGAGGGACACCTTGTACTTTGTTGAGGTTTAATGACTGCATTGTTCCTTTCTGAAGCGTTTACATCGCTTATTTCTTGCTGGTAGTTAGAAGCTAAGTGTTCTGAAGTACTGCGATTAGTAACAAATTCCCTGTTGCCGTGGGTGGAGGATTCAACACTTTCAGTAGACATACAGAGTTTTGATGGGTTTTGGTTCAAAATATCTTTCCTCATGTCGTGTTTGCAACTGGGGTCTCCACTGAAATAAAATTAAGGTAAAAACACAAATTAAATTGCACTCAGTGGTTCAGCAACTTCTTGAAAAGTTAGCAGTTACTTGGTTTTGTTCTTGTACTGAAGTATTCTGTTGGGTTCTAGGTGTAAAATTACAACTGTTAACACAGATATATGTAGTGGTTCAAGGCATTTATCATGCTGTACAATTTATCAAAAAACATTAACATTTTCATAAAATGTCATAAGTTAAAATGTGTAAAAATATTTACAATTTATGTGTGTCTGTATGTGGATTCACATTTAGAATTCTGAATTACCTATGTTTTATTATTAATGCACAATGTAGTATCTGCAAATTTCACAGCAGTTGAATGCAATGAAGTCTTCTCAAGTGATTAATCATCCGTGTCATCATGAAATTAGTTTCCAATGCTTTGGACACTGTCTTTAGCTCCATCACCAGGAATTGATATGATTTTGACAGTCTCTGAAATTCTGGAAACCATTTCATACTCATGGTTGATCACCCAAGAAGACTTTATTCAAGATGATATATTGTGCTTGGTATCAGGTTTTATGTCCTTTTATTGAATTATGAAATATGCTTTTCTCTCGTGACAGTTTTTAAACTTCCACTTACTTTGCTAACATTACTTATCTTTCTTTTGGGGATCATGGGAGTATGGTACATGCTTAATAAAAAAGATCAGTTTTGTGAAATCTTGTCTGTACAGCAGCAGCACATTGATTGAGGGGGGTTACATGCTGAGAAGCTGTGTGAAGATGAACCATAGGCAATATCAAAGAAAACTTGAGATAATGTATTGCTAGATAAACAGCATTCATATTGTTGTTTCTATACCATTGAATTAATTTGCATATTACCTAAGGGAAGAAGTATCTTCTCTCTTCTCATACCCAAACTCTTGCTTAATGAAGCTAACATTTGTAACACCTGAACGTAACAGCAGAATGTCACGGTTTGGACCAAGTTCAGGGACCTGGACACCAGCTCCACTGCTGTGTATAATGTTAGGGGGACTGTGACATCCCAGCAGAGGCTCGCCTTCATCTGATGATGTCTCACCCCCACTCATTTGTGGAAGGGGATGAGATGTCAGAATCTCACCTCTCTCACCATCCCATTGACCAAGTTTGGTAGGATCTTTCTCATACAGTTTCTGAGCAAGGACCTGAAATTCGTACAAGCTCAATAATTTCACTATAGCTACAAACACAAACCAGCTTCAGATACTGTCATCATCCTACTTTCATTAGTCCAGTATTTTAACAACCATATGAAAAAAAGCATCCATTCTTCTACAGTCCATGTCAGAAGAGATGCTGTCATCACAAGGACACTATTGCACCAGTCAGTGTTACCTACTGGCTGCTTACAGTTTAAATGCCATTTAAATTTTGAGGTAGAAAGGCACTTTCCTGCTTCTGTGGCTCTCATGCCTTATCAAGTTTAAGAGGTTTTAATTACATTATTTATTGGTAAATATCTACAGGGCTCCAGAAATATCAATTTAAATCTACTAATTACTTGGCAGAATTCATCAGTCTTGCACTCCGCTTCATTAAGTACTCACATATTCACTCCATTAACTCACCTGTATTAATATCTGAAGCCTTAGATGTCAGTTTCTGAGGGCTCTTTAGAAAGCTGACATGGTTGTCATCATTAGAGATCAAATATGAACAAGGAGAGAAAATGTAAAAGAAACAAAAACTGTGTTACTTCCCTCAGCATTATAATGGAAAGGAGAACAGATTTCTCTTCTACATTACCAGACATACTGAAAGATAAACTTGAAAATATGAACAAAATCTACTGCTGCAAAGGGGTTCGTGGTACTGAAAGGCCAGAACCAAACACGCTGTCTGGATATGGATGTGTTAAAACACTTATTACTCTTTTCATATTCAATGTTGATAACTGTAGTGAAACTTAAATGTGACATGTTGCTGTAAGTACTGGTACCTGAAGACTCTCCAGTGAGTTGTCACAGTCAGTGGTATCAATTTCATTAAGGCTTATGCCTTCACGTTCCATTTCAGCATATGTACCAAATGGAAGCTTCCCAACACATTCAAGCTTCATGATGTGCATTTTGGATCGCAGGTGCTTCGCCAGATGTCCGTGAATACGGAATGCGATCTTACAGTCATCACACTTGAAAGGACGTGGGTTCATAGTGGTTGGGGTACCAAAAGTTGAGTTCATGCTTACCTGCAAACAGATTTGCACCAAGGATACAATTTAAATCTGAAGACAAAGGTATCATAACTGCCATAATTAAAATATGTCATATCTAGCATTGTACTGCAACCCTGAAAGTCTGGGGAATTTCAGTACTAATAGTAGTCTCATTTATCTGGGATAATAGGGGAAAGAGGGAGCATATATACAGTTTTTAAAACCTGAGAGGCCATATGCCATCACTAACTTAGCAACATAATCACTTATTTTAGGGAACCCAAAGTTTCGCTATTCTGTTCACAAGTGCATCAGATGGATCCCTATCTTAAGCAAGTTAAATCCAGCCCATCCCCTTAAACAAATAGCGGTAATTTACCCCCAATCTTTTCATAGGGTCTCAATTGGTTTCTTCCCGTCAAACTTTATAATGAACACAATGTGTGCATTCCTCATATCCCCCATGCATGCAACATCCCAGACCATCTAATATTGCTTGATTTGTTGAGAAGTGCAAGTTATGAAGTTCCTCTTAATGTAATTTTCACCTCTTACTTCCCCTCTCTGAGGTTTGTCTTCAGGTACTCTGTCCTTAAATACTCTCAATCTATGTATTTCTACTAGAATGAAAATATCTTTCACATCCATAAATCACAACAGGTAAAGTTACATTTTTATATACTTTAATCTAAGAAGTCTTTTGACAGGTGGTAGGAAGAGAAAAAGATTTTGAAATAAATGGTAGCAAGCACTTCCTGAATTTAATCTACTTTTCAAAATCTTTGTGGGTGTACTTTTGATTTCTGAATTGAATGGTAACAAGCATTCCCCAAATTTTGCCTGTGTTGAATTTCCTCATGAATGCATTCTTAAGATGGCTATCTTCTGGGTTGTTGTGCTGTATAGTCTGGTAGAAGTTTAGAGATGTTTCAATGAAACAGTAAACTTCAACCAGACTACATGACGTTACAACCCAGAAGACAGCCATCTTTGAAATCACTGTTGCGAAAACCTCAAATCTTACAAATGTTTTTTTTAATGCTGTTCCCAGATATTCGAGCTTTGCCACATTTTAAAAGGATTTATAAGTAACACTTTTTGAATAAACTCATTATTTTGTGCTTTGTTTTCATATCTAGCTGTCTCTTCTATGCTATTACAATGCTGTCTTACTTCTAGATAACCAAGAAGATAGGTTACAAAGTTTACTATTAATATATATAACACCATTTTCAACACTCAAATCTTTACCTGTTCCAGCTCACTATCACCTTCCAACCATTAACTCATTCCCTATCTCATTTAATACCTTATATTATTCAATGTCATATTAAAGTAGACATAATAAGTCAGTGGGTTAACAGACACAATACTTTAAACCACCAATCAACAATTGGTTCAGATAATGAAAGTGTATCTTACTTTGTTCTGGTGACTAACAGAGCGTTCATGTTTCTGAAGATGTCCCTTGGTGCGGAAAGAGACAGCACATGACTCACAACGGAATGGGCGTTCAAAGTAATGGATGTTAACATGGAGACGGAGCTGACTTGGCTTGGAAAAGATTTTATTACAGATGACACAAATGCTACGTCCATCCTCCTTCATGCTGCAAAATATGATGACTAATTAATTAAATGTCAAGCAAATTACTCACTCTGCAAGAAAGGGATTATTAGTATTTATACTTCCTTATTAATCTTTTCCACTACAATGGTAAATGGAAGCCAGTATTGGCCTGATGCTACACAGTGTCACTAGGCCACAAGGGATTTTCTCTATATTGGTGCACGTAAATCTCACTGGAAATTTATATGCTAGTCTTGGTGAACATCTGGTTTCTTTCTAAACAGTATCATGCACTAGACAAGTTATATTATCTCATTTAATCCTGCCTACAGGCCACAACAGTTAACATCAAGCTGGAGTTGTCATTTGACAGACATCACTGTGCTCCTAGAACAATTGCTGGAAGCTCCCATTCTTTCAATGACTACATCTGAGTTTGTTAGAAATTAAATTTAGTTTTCATTAATCTGTATATTATATCATGACACCAATTCCCAAACCACGGTCTATACTCTAGGATTCTGTGACATGTCCTAAGGAATTTCTCAGACTGGTGTGACTGGCTTACCTGACATAACTTGGTGATGGTCCACTTGAAGGAGGTAAGAATTCAGCTTTGGGTTTTGTTGGGGATGAGGTTTTGGTGGCAATGGTAGCACTTGTTGTTGAGGTTGGAGGGGAAGCCGGCTGGTGTCCACTAAATCCAATCCCACCAACCACAACATTCCTTACAATATTATTACTGCTCATTGGTACCAGGCCCATTTTTGTCGAAGACATGTTTTCACCAACTGTGGATGTTGGTATTTTCAGTAATGCACTTTCCTTGACCTTTGTCTTTTCAGAGGAAGCTAAACTCTTTTCATTTTCAGCATCACTGCTTGATGCTAGTGTTTTACAGCCATTTACTTGTTCTAAAGACTCCTGAATGTTCACTTTTTCTGACACACCAGACTCCATATCTTTAATCCCTACACTGAATACTTCACCAGCAGGCCACGGTATCCTGATAGGAACAGCCCTGCCATTTTCTTTTGGAGTAGTTTCCTTATCTACTGAAGGTTTCTGTAGAGACAAGGATCTTGTTACAACAGTTATTTCTTGCATTGGTATTGATGCAGTGGATGATGATGATGATGATGATGATGACACTGTTGTGCATGTTGTTGTGATGTAACCATGGTGATGGTACTGATGCTGCTTCATGCGTACATCTTGCAACGCAAGTTCTGTAAGATAAGCTTGGAGCATTGTGGTTTCTGCTGGGTCAGGATATTTGTGCGCAAGCATTGTATTGGGAACTGGAAAACGTTCCACTGAGCTGCATAACGAAGCAAGGAGAATGGCGGGTTCTGATACAGGTGTCAGTATCTCTGAGATTGGAGTAGTAGGAGTCCTGGCACCATTTGTTGATAGAGAAGGAGGGATGTAAGGGATTAAGTTTGTTAAAGTTTTCCTTGAATTTGATGTCATTTGAGTTTTATTACTGAGATCCATTGGCTGCAAGGAGCCTGATGAGTTAGCCTCTATTGTTTCCATTTCATTTGTACTTCTTTCTGAAAGAGGTTTGTCTCTCTCTGAATTGTCACTCCTCTCACTGTCCTCATCATCTGTGTATGCTGCACTTGAATTATCCTGATCATAGTCTGAATCTGATCCATAGTCAACCGAAGGTTTGTCATCTGTCACATTTTTGCTAAACATTGCAACTGGTATGGTTGGTGTGCGACATGAAGGAAAATAATACCTGTTGGTATCACCTTGCTGTGGTGGAATCAGAACAAGTGCAGCTGCGTTACCCCTCCGGCGGATCATACTGGACCCTCTCCCCTCTTCCTTTAACTTTCCTTCCCCCCCACTATGCAACTCCAGTGCTAATCCAGTGTTTCTGGATACCTTTTCTCGCTCTGTCTGAGCACTCACTGCTGTTAGGGTTGGTGTCTGTGGTGTATTGAAAGAAGTTTCATGGCAGTTCGGTATGAGTAGAGTCAAGCTGTAGGGATATGTAGTGGGGCGGCCACAGGTTGAAGAGAGGGGGATCAACCCTGCTGAGATGTACTGGCCTGATGATGAGTTAACACGCGTAGACTCCGACAGACTCAGCAGACCACGCACAGCTTCACGTTCAAGTTTACCCTTACCGATGTTTGTATCATCTCCATCTGTTAACAAACAGGAAAAGTACATCTTAAACTCTCTAAATGGCTCCAGAGACTCAGTCAACAACTGGTTCAATGTTAGTGGAAGTATTTGAACAGGTGAATTTGCCAGTAGGTACATCTGTGATAACAAATCCTGAAAGTAATCATTACAATTATGCATGTTGTCAGTAGTCCATGTATGACAATTACATAACTGGACTATTGTTTCTGTGCCACAACTAACAACACTGAACAGTTGCTGTATGTTGAATATTGAAGGTAGCTGCAAATACACTAAATAAGCAAGACAGCCAATAGGGGTTAGGGCTCTAGCTTGGGGATTGGGCAGGATCTAACAATCACTCAGTGTAAAATGGATTCATACTTGGGCAAATGTTTTTGAATGACTTCTGCAATTGTAAAGAGACATGAAGTTTAAAACTTGGAATGTCTGAAATATCTATACAGCAGCTTCATTGAAAAAGGATGTTATTAAAATGGATCTCAAAGAAAGTGGATGTAAAGGTACAGACTGCACTCATCTAGCTCAAGACTGTGTTTAGTTAAAGTTCTTGTGAACATGGTAACAAATTTCTGGACTAGCTGAGTGACTTCTTATTTTTCCAAGACTTCATGGAGTCTCTCTTATTAAAACCATACTAAAATTGTCAACTGGAAACTAATTCTCATTATTGTAGTTTAATTGTTACAATCTACTATGTGTGAGCATCACTCACCAGCCTGATTCTGTTCCTCTTCTTCATCTTCCTCTTCATCTTCTTCATCCTCTTCCTCTTCTTCATTTTCATCTGAATCTGTTTCTCCATCTCCATGTTGAGATGCTCGTAATGCTTGCTGTAAAACAAATTGTACTAGTTTATTGAACAATGTCACCGTTACACTTTCACATTACCAAAAAATCACAGTTATAAGTTACAATTAGGAAATATTCACCTAGGAACACAACAACCATCTGTACAATTGGATCACTGGAAGAGGCATGAATATATATTTTCACTCTATGAGGCACTTTTCAGAATGCAACTACCTGTACTTCAAGACATGCCTCAATTTCCTTCCTTGTACTTCCTCATTCATCAGTTATAATCACTTTTGTTTTCAACACTCTTTGCTGTATAACCGAGAACACACTGTCAAATAGGCACATACAGTACATAAGAATTTGCCTCTGTTAGCAAAGCCTGGCATGGAATTTACCTGTCTAGAAAGGCACTCTTCATCAATATAGCTGTCATCAACAACAGTTGGTACTGGTACTATTCCAAGCTCCATGCACTTCTTGTAATGGGCCTTGGACTTCATGTGCTTAGTTAGGTTACCCTTTGTCTTAAAGCTGCAATAAAACCATGGAAAACTAATGTCATTATGCAGATAGGTTTTCGTATATTAACATTGTTTCATTTATCATTTATGGCTATAACATTGAACACCTGAAGAGCACTGGGTAGTAGCCACATTCACTCTTCATATTCTGACTTAAATAGAAAATCATGTCAATGACTGACAGAACAACAAATGGGTGTGGCAAGAGCCCTAGTATGCCCTTAATTATTTCCTAGTGGATGTCACACACCTTCATATACAGAAAAAAGCATACTGACTTTAGGTCTATAATGATCAGTTCACTTTAAAAGTATTAAAATATCCTCTTCTTACCTGAAGCTGCAGTGTTTGCATGTAAAAGGTCGAACGTCAGTGTGAGTCCGTATATGCTTTTTTAGCATAGATGGTTTCTTGCATCGAATTCCACACTCCTCACACACGTAACGACCACGGCCTACAACAATCAGTTTAATAATGAGTGTAATTTTACAAAGAAGAATGTAATTTGCCACCAGTAGCTGACATATAACTCTGTGCACTTGCCTAGTACATGTTCACTATGCTGGCTAATTTAGTGGTAGCAGAATACTTTCATTTTCTCTCACCAGTGGTTCAAGTATTTCACTTGCAAAGTTATTGCCACAGGGTCAGTCTCATAGCTGATTATATCAAAGTATCAACTGATTGTTTAAGTAATATAGCATCAAATGGTAGGAAAAAAATGTATGCATTTTCCATGGTGTCTGTTTCAGATTTAATAATTGAATCAACCTAACCATTAACAGTTTGTATACATCATTATATTTTCTACAGTAACATACCTATTTTGGTAAAAAGTGTCACTGCACACCATCTTGTGGTTAAGTACATGCATTGCATTATTATATTTAAAATTTAGGCTAATTCTAAACAATTAATTGGATAAATATGCTAGGAATCTTGGTTTATATTAACATCACTGCAGTGTATGTACATTATCCGCCCACACATGCATGCACACGCACACACAGAGGCAGGCAGGGACCTGTGGCAAATTTTGGTCTGTTTATTTAGTTTATTTAATAACACCTTCATTATCTCAGATTATACAGCGTCAAATGAAAGGATGATAATGAATAATGAGTTGGAAAAGATGTGGACGGAAGGGGTCTGAAAGGTACTATCTTGGCATTTACCTGGAGGGACTGAGAAAAACAACAAAAAACTTCAATCAGGATATCTGGTCTCCGGGTTGAGATTTGTACCCGGGACCTCCAGAATACGAAGTAGAAGTGCTAACCTCTTGACCATGACATTCAGAATCCTTGTCTAGAAGTCAGATCATGCAGAAATGCAATATTATTGAATCTCCCAACAATTGCACTACAGATATTATCATCTTGCTATTGTTATGTTAGATAGTCAAATACTTATTTTATATTCCTCCATTTTTATTGGTTTGGCAGTGCACTACTAGCTACAATGAAGCATATGCCACTGGCAGCGACCCCAAGGGTTAGATATGATTGCCATATCTGACTACATATATTAGCAAAGAGGCAGATCATCACAAACTTCAGGGAGTATGTATAAAGTGGTTTTTATGGTGACTGAAGTTGATGAAAGACTCTCAGGCTACAAGCCACATCAGGTGGCTGAAAGGTGAAGAAACCATATTGTCTGCTAACGTTTCGAGAACAATCTCTGTTCTCATCCTCAGAGCTGCTCGGTAATCAGTCCGTTCCTTTGTTGCGCGTTAGCTGATAGGAACTGGCAGTGGATGGCAGGTAGTTATGATGTTGCTGGAAGCCCATCCATTGCTCTGTTTTGCACTGGCCAATGGAAAGGAACAGGCTGGTTAACCAGCAGCCCTGAGGATGAGAACAGGGATTGTTCTCGAAACATTAGGAGAAGATATGGTTTATTCACTTTTCAGCCAACTAACGTGGCTTACAGCCTGAGAGTCTTTCATCAACTTCAGGAAATATGTCCAATGGCATGTTCTATCCCCATCAGAATCTTCTTTGATCACTCTATCTTTTTATACGTCCTCCAACATTTATTTTTCCCAATGGATCATAATACGAAGCTTCTTTGGGTACAGATATTTTTTGCGCTTTCAGCTTGTTCCTACCATTTATTTCAGTAATCTGAAATTGTAACTATTGCATGTTGATAAAGGATCTTTGTAAATTGTCTACAAACACTGAAACAGCAAACTTGTGTCAGCGTCTTGTCCCTTTGTGGAAGTTTGTAACTCAAATAGCTTCATTCCGTTCATATTAGATATTTTAAAATACAAAATTACAGAATCCAGTACACTTATTTCCATAGTTTGGAAATCTGACAGCTTGGTTTATGGTCGTATTATAACATTTTCATTTTTTGTCAACTTCTAACCTGTACTTTAAAGTTTTGGTATTAGTCAGGTATTCAAGTGCTGTTTTCTTGCATTTCATTGCAAGTACTTTGATATTTTCACTTATATGAGGACTGTTATTTCTTCTTATATTCCAACAATCTCTCTTCAGCATTATTTGTGCACAACCAACAACTGTGTTGTGCAGCTTCTATAGTATCAGAAGGCTCACCCACCTCTTCCCCTGACATATATGTAGTCCTCATTAGACTCAAAACCTCCATCAAAAATCTTGACTCTGCGTGGTGCAGGCTCACCTGTCAAACCTGAATTCTGAAACAATATCATATAATAAGTACCACAACACTTCTACCAACACCAACTAAATTTAATGAAAACCAAAATGCATTCCTTACAAATTGTATTAAAACTGTGTTAATTATTTTATTAAAAATTCAAATTAGATGCTGCAGAAATAGAGATATGACCATTCTGGTTGGTATTTGATTGTGTCTTCACCATACAATTACTGGTTACTCAAGCCTCTTATACGTACACCATTTTTTGATGAATTACAGTATTTACTAAGAGACAGTTCTATTAACAAAGGTAAAACCATTTTTTCCCCTCTCATATTTGACTAGTTTTTTATTTCTCCAACAAATTAATATTTTGTGATAAATTTAGTTGCACATTTTCAACTGGCTTAATTATTAAGCAGTCAAGGAGAAGACTGTGCCAAAACCAGACATTAATTAACCAAACCTAATTATGTATCATTATGAATTGACATTTACATTTCACAAGTCCCACTCACTCACTCACTCTATGGTGCAGGACATTCTTTACAAAGCCAATTGTTACTCAATTTGTTCAAATTATAGCCCACTTTCTTTATGAAAACCGAAGGTTCATCACCGTGTTCACAAAAGCCTGCCACCAGACTCTATCCTGAGCTAGCTGCATCAAGTTCTCTCCATCGATTCCTATCTACCTAAGGTCCATCTTAATGTTATCCTCCCACCTATGTTGAGGTCTTCTCAGTAGTCTCCTCACTTCAGGCCTCCCAACCAATGCCCTGTGAATACCCCTCCCCTCCCACATGCATGCCACTCACCTCATCCTCCTCGATTTAGTCACCCTAATAATATCAGATGAGAAGTACTGGCAATGAAGCTCATCATTATGCAATTTTCTACATGCTCTGTCTCCCTCCCCTTTAGGTCAAAGTATCTTCCTCAACACTCTGTTCTCAAAGACCCTCAATCTATGTTCCTCCCTCAAAGTTAGAGACAACGTTTGCACCCATGCAGCACAACTGGCAAAATTATACTACTGTATATTTTATCTTTAGTTGTTTTGATGTGAGACAGGAGAACAAAAGATTTTGGACTGAATGAATGCAAGCATTCCCTGAATTTAATCTGCTCTTGATTTTGTCATGAATGTCATTTTGACATGTTAATGTCATCCCGAAGTACTTGAATTCTGTCACATTTTTGAACGATTCATTAACTGTCTTTACATTCTGGTTCTGTCCTGAATTCAGATGTGAGACATGATCATATAATTTGTTTTTTCTGCATTTATTTGTAGACTAACATCCCTACTAGCCCTTAAGAGTGTTTCTGTGTTTACTTTTATAGTATTTATATTATCACAAATCTGGTAATTTTAAGTGTTTCTTAAAGCAGACTTATGGCTGGAACATCACAAATGTAGTTACTATAAGTGTCTATCAAAACCGACAGGCACTGTTGGAACTGTTCCGTCACTGTATTATGTAGGAGAAAGTAACAGTTCAAAAAGGAACGCAATGTATTTGCAGGATCCACATGATCGGTGTTGACATTTTTACAGTTTTCTTAATGTCAGTCTGGTTAATGCAGGCTTTTGTGATCATGGTAATGAACGTTTTGGTTCCATAAAAGATGGGGAATTTCTTGACTAGCTGAGTGTACTTCTCAAGGAGGACTCTACTCCATGTAGTTAGTTCCATCTGATCAATTTTGGCATTCTAGTATTGCCTACAGCACAGTCATTTAAGAGCAAGCCACGGTAGCTCAGTCAGTATAATAGTTGACTACAGACTGGGTGACTGGGGTTTGATTCCTGACAGGGGCAGAGAATTTTTCCTCTAGCATCTGCATCCAGATGGGTTCTGGGACCTACACAGCCTCCTGTCCAATAGGTACTGGGTTCCTTTCCTGGGGGTAAAGTGCGGCTGGGACGTGATGCTGACCACTCACCCCTATCTAGTACCAAGATTAAGGATGAATAGGAGCTATACCACTTCTCCCTCCAAGCACATGGCAAGAGAACTTTACTTTTTTACTTTTACATACATTTGAGAGAAATTAATATTTTGACCGAAGACTTACGTGAAGCGTTTTTGCAGTGACACATTCCTACTTCAATAAATCCACCTTCTTACCTCGGCTCCATCTGTCTTGGTCCCAGTGTCTTTCCCTGTATCCCCATGAGGTTTATCAGCTTTCAGCTTTTCACTTTGTTGCACCTGGTTTCTTTCCAGCCAATATGATGAATGAGTCAGTATCATGGGCTTATTTTCAGATGGTTTGGCAATAGTGTAAGCTGTAGGTCGATGTCTTGAATCATAGAATGCCATTGCATGCCCCGGATCTAATCCGAATGGATTTGGATCAGCTTCAAGACAAACCTGCAAAATTCTGAGGCTGTTACTGTTGGACTGACAAAGGGTGTTGTAAATCTTAATACAACAGAGCTACGAATAACTTCACAAGGTGAATCAAATTTCGCTTCAGGACAGATTAATGATCATGAAACGTGGCAAACAAAAATTAATTGCTAAAAATGATAGCGAAAATAGATGTTAAATTTATCAGCCACTGCTGTGAAATAATGTAACTCAAGTTGAAGACACTTTGTATTTAGTGATTTATACTTGTCTCTTTGTACAATCAAGAAGATTAACATGGACTATACATGTGCTTCAGATTAGGAAAGCAAGAAATATACACACAGTATTTTGGTATGGATATTAAAATTGTCCTAATGGAAATAAGTCTTAGTAATACAGATTTGATTGAAATGGATCAGAATCAATACAATGCCAGGCTTTTTAGGAGGGTTGAACCTTCTGATTCATGCTGTATTGTTATTTGCTCTCACCTTCCAATTGGAGTACATGGACAGTTTGGCATGTTCAGGAGTTTGAGGCACATACATTGGCTGAGGCCTGTTCAGCGTGCAGTAGAAGACTCTTGTTGAACATTTGAGGCCTAAGTAAGTGTATGCATGCCCATTCAAGTACAGCTGCCCATATGATTTCCTGGGACGTGGTGTCTCAGGACTGACGAGTGACAGAACTGTTCCTGTTGGGGTAAGCCCTGTTCCATGATGCTTCTTTGGAACAAATGTCCCTGGCTTCAAAGGCAGTGTTGTTGGTCTGAGGAACTTTGGTCTGATCCCACTATTGCTTCCTTTGGTCTTGGAATGCTCAGCATTTTCATCTCCTTTTTCATTCTTCTTTGCTCTTCCATCTTCCAACTCTTTACTCGACTTTTCCTCCTTCTCACTTCCAATTTCTTTTGGTGCCATCATTGGTACAATATCTGGTCTTATTCCTTTTGACATTTTCTGTACAGGAGATGCTGAGTTTGTGGTATTCTGTGTAGCTTCTTCGCCTATAGTACTGTCAGTGCAATGATTAGTGGTTGGTAAAGGTGTATCAATTTTAATACTTGGTATCAGCTGTGAGGGAGTTTTGGGTATCTTCAGCAAAGTGCTTGCAGATACCTTAGAATTGACAATTCTTGGAAGATCATCTTTCAGATAATGACTAGATGGAATTGGGGCCACAGTGTTTATATATGATGTAATGGAAACTTTCAAGTTTTTAGGAAGAAGTGATACAGATGGCTGAGTTACCTTGGTTTGATCTGTGATTTTCGAAGAATGTGACTCTCGTGAAGGACTTGCAAGATCAAGTGGTTGTGGTGATGACTCTTTTCTGACTGAAACTGGAGATGGTACTGTTGGAAGTAAGGTATGCGGTCCAGGCATTCCAGGAACATAAGGAATTGCTTTCCCACCATGAAGGATGGTCACAACTCCACCAGAGTAGGGAGGAGGTGGGACACTGCTGTCTCGTGGGATTGGTGAAGAACAGACAGCTCCTGGACTCTTCTTGTCCTTGGTTTGAGCATGGGATAGACTTTGTAAGACATGAGAAGATTGTTGAAGAATGCCAGAGTGTGGAGGCAGTGTCAGTGGGTTGTAAGCTGTGATACTAGTCAGAGGATTTAACAGTGCACCATCTTGCAGGAAAGGTGCAAATGGCATGAAAGGCAAATGATGACCAAGATTTGGGGCTGGAATCCCTGGTACTGCCAAGTTTGGAGTAGCAATATTTGGCACAATGGGTACAAGAAGTTTGGTTGTGTCTGGAAAGGTGTTAGTGATTGTGTTTGTATTTGAAGTTAGTAGTGTTCCAGTACAGTAAGGAGATGTTGATGGAGAGGCAGAATTCAATATCATTCCCCCACCACTGACATTCTTCTGTTGCTGTTTTGGAAGTGGTGATGTAACATTTCTTGGACTGGAGGCATTTATAGGATTGATGCTGCCACCTGATGTCCGAGGGGGTTTCACAAGCCCACTGGACACAGTGCAGGAATTATTTGATAACTTCTGTGGCACCTGAACAATGGTTCCACCAGAATGAAGGCCAGATCTTGCAATCGTGACAACAATGTGTGGGGAAACATTGCTAGGTACTACTTCATCATCACACTCTGCTCCTCCTTTACTGCTTGCAGAAGATATCAGTACTCCTCCAGGATGTATGTGATTGGGGAGACTGAGAATCAGATCAGCAGCACCTCCAGGTGCTCCTGGACTCTTGCCTCCTCGGGATGATGGTTCAATTCTCATTGTCTTTGTTTCACCAGCACCATCAAGGATCTGAACCTCGCCTCCAAACATCTGAAGAGAATTAGGACGCATTGGGCACTTGGAAAGTTCTTCCAAAGATCTCAGAGTAGTAGCTGAGGGAGACATGATGCCAGAATGTGGTGTGGTTGACAGTGGTCGGATGTCAGGTGAGGATGTTGTTGAGCTGGTGTCTCTTGAAAGTTCTGAATCAAGCCTTCGCCTCTTTAAAAGAGGACCTTTGTGTTGTAGGTCCTCTAGTATTTCTTCATTATCACTGTCTTCCCTCTTCTTCTGCTGTTGAAGGCTAAGTTGGTGGTAGCTGTCCACAAGAGGTGTATTCCCAAGAAGGGGGCCTGGTGATGGAAAAGGAGGCATCACTAATGTTGAAGATTTCCCACTATCCCTTGAAGGGGGTGTTAATGGTGATGGTTTGAATTCTTGTTTCCCAATTTTGGAAGACACCTTGGCAATATTTAATAGTTGCATTCCAGAACCTTTTACTGCATGACCAGCCTTGCGTACATCCTCACTACTTCCAATTATCTGTGCCTGCAAATCTAAAGAATGTGATGAAACTGAACCATATTTCATAGCAGCATTTGGACTGTGTTGTGGTGATGCATTGTGCATTACTTTCAAACTAATTTCTCCTTTACAATAATATCGCTGGTGAATTTCTAGATTCTGTGCATTTCGGAAAGGTATTTTACATAAAGAACAAACATATTGAGAGTTTGAAAGATATGCATCATCATCAGAATTGTTTGAGGATTGGAGGCATGACATATTGGATGGTATGCTGCTGGAGGTTTCCATATTTGAAATTATGTCTGCCATCCCACAAACTCC